GTGTGTGTGTGTGTGTGTGTGTGTGTGTGTGTGTGTGTGTGTGTGTGTAAATATTTTTCCCAATATGCCCAGTTGACAAGTGTTTAAATTCTAGACCAGGACTGCCGATCTGCACAATTATGTGGTTATTTGAGCACTTAATTTCACTCAAGTTTCATTGGGCTCTGCTCTCCTCCCTAACATGACGGGAGCTGTGCAAGAGCTCCCTGACTTCAAGATTCCTAGTGTTTTTGCACAACAGGCTGTCCAAATGAGAAAGACTGAGTTGCGTGTCTGTAAGTGTAAGCGCAGGGTGCACATGCTGCAAGGTCTCCATCCTCCCGGCCTGGTCCCTCCCTGACGGGCTGGGCCTTTGTGCCCTCCTCAGAGTATCCCTGGGCGCAAACCCCACTGTTCAGATGGGCTGCAAGTTCTCACTTCAAAGCTATGGAATGGAGATTTTAGCACCTTTAAAAAAATTAACTTTGTGACTTTTAATTTATATAGTGATATGCTGACAGGCTGACCGCAGATGATTTTGTCCTCTTCTCTGCGTTCAGTGTTGAGGTGGCTGCTTACAAGAGGCACTGGTTTTGTATATAAAGACACTCGGGTTGTTTTGTAGCTTTTTCTTACTGGCTGTACTAACGCTTGCTGAGGTTATCTGTGATAAGGGAGGTAACAAGTGGCAACACCCTCCCCACCAACCATCCCCTTTGCTGCTTTCTGTGTCTTTCTTGTTCAGTTACCAAAATAGCTGTAAGCCCATCTAATGCTAGGTGTGTGGACATTGTGCTAGGGTAGTTTAAGTGTGTCAACTTTATGAATTCAAATATAAACCAGTAAAATTGTATTACTATTTCTTTTGTTGGTTTTATTTTAACAGTATATTCATTAAATATTTTGGTACAAACAGCATTGCTTTGTAAAAACCAGTTTTATCCTCATGTGCTCCTGCCGCCTCCTCTTCTTCCCCCCACCCCCTGCACACAGAAGCAGAGTCAGAGAAGACCACCATCTGTGCTGTCAAAGAGGTATGTATGTGTGAGCGTGAGGCGGCCTCCTCAGCCTCCTGTTCAGACGTGTGGACTGGTAGGGTGTGACAAGCCGCATGGGGTGAGAAGATGACTTTGATGCCTCTATGTTCATGATGAACATTGCTCCTTTCTGAGAAATAACTTGTGCTGTAGTAGCAAGGATGAGAGATACTTTGTGTTTTTGAGGTTTAAGGAAGCATTACAGGAGGTAAGGGTCAAATTAGACGTTCAAAGGCAAAAGCATCTCAGCAGGCAGAGATGGAAGAGGAAATTCCAGGCCAAAAGGTACATGTGCAGGGGAAAGCTATAGAAAGGCAGGCTGAGCACCCTGAGGGTCAGATGGGGTCTGCTAAAAGCTTTAGGAAAAAACATGGGAGTTATCTTTTCAGAGCCTCTTTCTTTTCATTGCTTGGCCTTCCACATCCCTGCACCATACAGATGAGGCTCCAGGCCTTATGCTGCCCCTCTTCACCACCTCAACCCCCTTCTCTATAGCAAAAAGCAGAACGATGCTTTCCTAATCTTACGATTCCCCATTCCCGTTTGACCTGCCGTCCATGACCCCACCTATGCCTATCCTTTAAATGGATGCAGCCTGAGCAGACTATAGCTTCATGCCTGCCAGAAGAAGGGAAGATAGATGATTGATAGCTGATTGATAGATTAGAAAATAGATAGAAGATAGAGGATAGGATATAGATTAAATACCTAATGTAGATGGCGGAGTGATGGATGCAGCAAGCCACCACCACAGCACGTGTATATCCATGTGACAAGCAGGTGGGCCCCTGCCCTGTCTTTTCTCCACTGCAATTAAACTAGGAAAGTGCCTAGCATAGGGCTCAGCCCCTGGCGTGTACTCTTGCAGAAACTAGGACTGTGGCTCCAGAGCCCAGCTGGGGTCCCTTTGATGCTCATAGGCTGCAGGCTGGAGGACATTATTTCTGGGATCCACATTCCGGATCTGCCTGCTCCATGCTTTTCCTGTCCCATTGGTTTCATGTTCAGTAGTGTAGGGACTCAGCAGAAATCCTCATCCCTGGAGCTGCGTACTGGCCCAAGAAAAGGAGTCCACATGTATATAATAGTCTTGGCACACAGGCCTAAAGCGACTCAGATGAGGCTCCTGCTTTGGGGGAGGTCCCCTAGTTATGTTGAGGCTGAAATTAGAATAATAGTGACACCGTATGGTAAGTCGTGTACAGGTGTATGGGATCCTGTGGGAAGGTATGTGTAACTGCAGGAGGACAAAGTGGCAGTGACAGTTGTGACTGACAACTAAAGGACTTGCTAGGTAGAAGAGAAGAAAGAGGACAGCATTGAGGTGGGAAGGACAGTAGTTAAGTCTGCTTGAGGCGGAGTGATGACATGAAACTGGGTAATTAGGTTGGGGCCATGCCAGGGAGTTAGTTGTCACTGGAGAGTTTTAAAACCCATTTATGCCAGAGGTTGCAAATTTTTTGTGTGTGAAGAATCAGACTTTGGGGATGACTTTGAGCAGTAGGATATAAATAACTCCCTCAAGCTTAGTGTTGCAATAATGGAACACTAGGCATAAATGGGTTAAACCAACTTGCACTTTGAGCAGTTGCCTGCTGATCGTTTAGGAAGAAAAATCAGGAGGAGAAGAAATTAGGGTATGAGCAGAGGTGATTGACAGATGGTAGAATAAGGAATGGAGAACACCGTCAGTGAAATTTGGTGAGTGAGGACACACACCAGGAGGATAAATTTAGCTGTCCGTGTATAGATTTGAAATAGCCTGGGACTTGCAGGTTGGAGACACTGGCAATCTACAGCTGCTCACTTGTTGGTTTGGCATCTCTAGCGCAGGGTGTGTGGAACTCAACATTGTTGATGGTTTGGCTGGTTGATAACTTCTGTGCTGGGGGGGGTCTGTCCTGTGTGATGCCAGCAGCATCCCTGGCCTTTACCCACTGGGTGCTAGTGCACATAACCCACTCCAGCTGGCACAACCAAAAATGTCTTTAGTTATTTCTTGCCCCTTGAGGGGGCAAAATCATCCTTGGTTGAGAACCATTGCTCAAGCAAGCCGAAGCTAGATAATGCAAAGATTAAGCAAGGGCTAGATGGAGGACTAGGAGCCGCCATTCAAGGAGCAGTAGAGAAGACATGGAGAATGGAGGAGCACAAACAGCTAGAGAGGAGCAATAGCTCCCCCTCAGGGTGGGGATGAGGGCAGGACTGGAAAAGCTTCATTGGATTTGGAAGCTGGAAGGTTGTTAGGACAGTGACCACTATAATAGAGTACGGAAGGGCAAGAGGCAGGGACAAGCAAGTAGAGAGATTTTAAGAAGCCTGGCTGTGAGGGAAGTGGGCAAGCAAGGCCAGTGGTCGGAGGGGACTGTGGCAGGAAGAGCAGTTGTGCTGGGCCACTGGGACTGTGGTTCCAACCTTGGGCACCTGTTTTCCCTGACGGTGCCCTCAGGGCTGCTCACAAGGTCTGCGAGCGTGCACCGCAGGCTGGGTGGACCTTCTTTGGGAGGCCTTGGCTGCAACCCAAGCTGATTTCCAGGGCCTTGGTAATTCTCAGTGGGGAGGCGGTGGCTCAGACCAAATGGCAAGAGCTGTCAGCCCCAAAGTCTCTGCACCTCTTCTGAAGAAAGTCCCAGGGGCAGGGGCTGAGTAGTAAGAGGAGTGAAGAAGAGCCACAGGCTCCCTGAATAAGCCCAGAACACAACTCCCAGGTCTGAGCTGACTCAACAGTTGTTGTGAAAACCATAGCCTGCACAAGGGAAGTGCAGTGGGTGACTTGGGCCCCTTGTGGCCTGGGAGAGCCACTTCACTGGTCAGAGACGTGCCAGACTCCTCTGACACTGGGATTTAAATGCACATCTAAGATTCATTTGGGGGGTGATGAAAAAACAGAGCTGGAGCAGACAGACATGAGGACTGGAGCCGCCCAGAAGGGGCACTGAGCTACTCCCAGAACAACAGACATGCGTGCTGAGTTCTCTGCCCTCCCCATTTGATAAAAGATTTGGTAGGTGAAGATACATGGGCTCGGAGAGACGGCTGGGATGCTGACTGGTACTTCTGTCAGTAGCCAGCAGGGTGGCTGCTTAAAGATGAGCATGGGAAGCAGCAGGTGGGTTTGAACTGTCACAGCACTGTACTGCAAGCAACACACACACATTCAGGGTGCAAGGCCAGGCCAGGCCATGCGCTTGGGCGCGCATCTATCTCACTTAACCTTCCTGAGTTCTCCTGATCTGTGCAGTGGGTCCAGTGCCTGGCTCACCAAGGCTGTTGAGCTCTCCACTCTTCTCCTGTGTTCTTCTCCCTCCAATTGTCAGAACACCCCCGAGTTAAGTGATGTTATTCCCAGATTTGAAAGTGAAAGGCCTGACCTGACCACACTGTCGAGGAGTTCGTTTTTCCTACCACATACCTTCACCTTCTCCTCCAGGGCCCAAGGGCAAGAAAAGCAGTGTTCCCTCCCTTGCTCTCCCCAGTTCCACCTCAACAACCTGTCTGTCTCCTGTGCAGCTGAGCCCTGCGGCAATTGTAAACAAGAAAGCCTGGCTGTCCCTCAAGCTCAGAAAGGCAAGCCTGGGAATGAGGTTGGGAACAGCAGAGGGCTGGCCCAGCCAGCTCTTCAGTCAATTCTTGGTTGTAGATTCGGCCTGATGATACACAGGGAGAAGGCGGAGCCCTGTGTTGTAAAGTGAGGCAAAAACAGCGCCATTGCCCACACAGCTCTCCACTTACCTGGAGACGGCAGCAGCAGCAGCCTCTGGCCTGATACCCTGCCGGACCACTTCCCTGGGCTGCCAGACCTTTGTCCTCATCTCTCCAAGTGGGCTGGCAGTACACTGGTCTTGAGCTCTCAGTTCCTAGGGAAGCTTAACTGCAGGGGACCAGGCAGCAGGAGGAAGAGCCTCATCTTTGGCTTCCAATGGCTGCCGCCCTCTAGAAGTTCAACACCCTTGGGCAGGGCCCCTTAACCCTGAGGCTCTGTTCCTGGATCTGTATTGTCTGGGTGCTGCCACCCCCGGAATAGGTGTGACGATGAAGAGCAAGGAGAGCAGTCACTCAATAGGACATAACTTACCACTCACTGTGCCAGGTTGCCAGGTTCATGTTTCATATTGAGGAAACTTTTCACACCACAGAGAAGCAGGATTTTAAGGACCACAACAGGATCAAGAATTAGGCCCTGCCCCCACCCAAATCACTGTCCACTATCAGGAGCCATCCACCCCCACTTCAGGCATCCTCAGCCCTTCATCCCTTTGCACTGAACTAGAGCCTTAAGGGCCAGGAAAAGGGAGCCTGCACTTGAGCCTTTCACCAAAGCTGGATCCTTCATTTTACCAGAGTGTGTCCTATAGAGAACAGTCCATTACTGTGTGTGACAGAAGCATTTGTTTTTATTTATCCAAATGGGGAAAATGCAACATGTCAGGGCATTACACACAAACTGCAGCAGCCAGACAAGAGGGTCAGTCTATGGCAGAGTCCAACATACTCAGTGCGAAGGAGCCACAGTGTGGGTGCTGCCTGGAGGACTCGTGGCAGCAGGGTCCCTTTGGATGAAGGCCAGGCATTTCTGGGCGAGGCACTGATGACCATCCACATGTGCAGGCTGCTGCTTCAGTCACGCTGAAGGTTTAAAGTTCAGAGTCCTACATGTAATAATTGCCTCAGAGGGGAAGAACAGTCCATGGTAGTCACGGTTTCCAGTGTTTTTAAACATGATACACAAAGTTATTGCCAAGGACTTTTGCACTGCAAATTATACTATTTACACTAGAGTATTCAGAAAAACACAGTAAATAGATACATGATAGATATTTTAGATTTCTAAAAACTAACTTGGTCTTCACTAGACCAGAGTGAGCTACAGCCAGGAGTCCAATGTCATGTGTGTAACCGTGCAGTAGGGAAAGGTTTTCTATCCATGACTCTGCTCAGCCTTCTCCTGCCTCCCCCAACCCTTGGGGCTAAGGAAGGACTGGGCTGAGCAGGGCTACCTTACTCCACAGCGTGAGGGCTTCAGGTCCAGACTGGCTGCACCTCCCACCTCCTTCCCAGACAGAGCTCTCCTTGGAGCGTCCAAGAAGCAAGTCCTACAGGCTCCACTCCTGTAGGACCACTACAAGGCAGGTAAGCCAGGACACAAAGGCATGGGGCTGTAGGGCTAATGGTATGATGAACCTGACCCTAGGCCAGCCCCTTCCCAGCACCCCCTGCCAAAGCACCCTTGGGAACAGGCCCATCAGCCTCACTGTTCTGCAAGTACGACTGCCCTAATTTATGGTTACCTCAGGAAACCTTTTGAAGAAGTGGCTGGGACCAACCAGCCACTGAGAGAGACCAAAGGTTCAGCACAACAGGCCAGACAGATGGTCCAGGGTGAAAGGCCTGAGTCCAAAGATGCTTTGTGGAAAAAGGATAAACACTGCTAAGGACTAAAGTATACACTGTCTGCCCAAGGAAAGGACAAGAGCAGGGAGTTCCCATGTGGACCAGCTTTCATTTTGCCTCCATAAGCCCTGGTATGCTGGAAAGGGTGTCCACCTGGAGGCTGGAGACAGCTTCCCAGAGAGCCAGAGCTACTTTTGATTCCTGGGAGGAGAGAGCAAGGTCCTCTGGTCGGATGCCTACAATTTGGCTCCCCGGTGGAGTTTCTAAAAATGAGCCCTCCTCCCCAGAAAAGGTACTAAATAGTAGCAAAGCATCTCCCACAGCCGTGGTAAGTCCCATCCCTGAGAAGCTGCCATATTAAGTGAGCTAAGGGAAAAGCAGTGCTCAGTACCCCATCTAAGAAATGGGGGTGCAGAGTGAACGGAACCTGACTGCAAAGCTGGCCTGAGCATGAAAAGTGATTGGGATAGGGAGAGGGGTGCGTCTAACGGCAGCACCTCTGGCCTACTGTCGGGAGAGAAGAGGTATTTTTGCAACCAGGCCTTGCCTGGTTACTTCCAAATTATACCTCATGCACTGGCTGCCATCACTACCTTGGGGGTCAGGGGTGCAGCCTGAGGGAGCCAGTGAAGTGGTGTTTGCACACCAGAAGGCTTGGTAAGTGACATCATTGTGCCTTGGAAATGCACATGTCTGGATTGGGTGTCTTGCCACTGACCCACCACACCAAAATTCCTAAAGGGTGGAGAGCAGGAGCTACCCAGAACAGAGGAAACAGACTGGAAACCTAAAACACAACTTGTAAATTATGGGTGGAAAAGGAACTTCTTACTACCTCCCTAGCTATCTTAAACTCCTATTCTTGATCCATATCCATGAACAATTAAAATAATCTGACTTGCAAAAACAGCAGAAATATTTACGTTAGAGTCAAGAAAACTTTCGGACCATCATGTTTCCCTAAGCACAGACGGCAAAGCGCCTGTGCCCATAGGTGGGGGCAGGGCTGGCTCTGGCAAGGCTCTTATCTGTAACTAACTCCACTGCCTGACTGACAAGAGCCTTCCTATGAGGCTGCAGCCACTGCCCATGACTGGCTGCCACATGAAAGGCCACGCCTGGCACCGCAGCCAGGGATAGCTGCATTCTCTTTACCCGATGTCCATCTGTGCCAGGCTCCAGTTAGTCACTTTCCCTTCCAAAAACCCAGAAACTCCTCTAGAAAATACAAGGGGTGCTCCTTAGACCTGAGAAATTCCACACCTACCATCAGAGCCTGAGAGCACTCTATGCCCATAAGAGAGAATCAGGCAGCAAAATCCCGAGAGGCACTTCCATACGAGAGGGAGCCTGACAAGTTTAAAGACAGCAGCCACCTGGGGCAACTCCTCCTCCTGTATCCCTCACCTGATTCTCAGAGACAAACAGAACACAACTTCATTGAGAGTAAGTAGCACCCAGTTCCTTAAGTTTTCAGTGGCTTCCTGCCTCTCCAGGGCCTTCCAGCACAGCACACCTCCCTCCTGCCTTTCCCCACACCTGGCCCGACTGTGCTAGGGCAGCACTGCGGTCCTCACCTCCTGACTCAGTCCCAGAGGTCCACAAACACGGTTGGGCCTGTGAAAGGGGGGTCACAGTGCAGAGATGCCGGCCCAGGCCTGCTCCCGCCTCGTCAGCATCATGGGACAGCTGTGTGAAGCGGGCCACCACCTACCAGCTCAGGCAGGTGGGACAAGGACCTTCCCTTCTCTGAGCTGCACTGATCACCTACCCCATGGGGCTGCTGCAGAGGCACTTGTATTGGGCCCTGCTTCTCCAGCCCTACCCGCCCCTTCACCGCGCGCGCACACAGTGCTGCTGCCACCGCACAGCAACAGTAGCCACTCCCAGCTTTTGTTCGCGTCAAACTGGCAGCAGCTCACATCCCTGACACCTCTCCAACGCTCTGAATGAATGGAAGCTCCCTTCGACGTGCCTGGAAACCCCTCTGAGAGGAAAGACTGGAGAGCAGACAGCGCTATAAACACTGAGCATTCCTCAGTGCAGCCACCATGTCTGATTCACCTGTCTCCCTACACCTGACGTCAGGCCCAGCCCAGAGCAGTCTACCCCCAGCAGTAGTCGTTTCACCCTCCCTTAGTAGCTGGCAGCCTCTGGAGAGGAGAGGCCAGCATCTCTGCTTCTCTGAGGCCTGCTGGCGAAGGGCCCAAGGGCATGTACAAAGGAAGCAATCAGTTCCATAAAGCGTTCCCACCACGTGACTTGATTTGGAAGCAAGGGGCAGCCTGTCCTCGCCCCTTTACCTTCATATTGCTGAGGAGGCCCCAAGCCAAACTTTGGAGACAGAATGTTTCATTTATCCTGCCCTTGCAAGTGATCTTTAGGATAGCAGGAGAGAAAAAGCCTGAAGAAGGAAGATTCTGTCAAGCTCTGTCAGGTCAAAATAAAGATGGGGCGCTCACTGCCCCAATATAAGCCAGTGGTCAGAAAATCTGCCCAACTCTGGGTCTCTCTTTCTCATTCCAGTACCAAAAGTACCTTGACCAAAAAGTCCAGACTAAACTGAAAGTATAATTTATAACCACAGACATGGTCCTCCATAGCCAGTGACATTTCTAATCAGCATTTGTGATCACATTACCCTCCTGAGCACAACTGTCTGATGGCTCCTTACTGCCCAGAGAATCCAGTCCACCCTCCTGGCCCTTTACGAGCGGACCCCATGTGCCTGTGTGACTATGCAGAAGTTCTCATTGTCGGACACAATCTCACCCATTGCCTGGTCCTGTTTCCCTTCCTGGAGAATGCAGCCTACTCTTCTTCTAAGACCCTGCTCCAGAGCTGCCTGCCTTCAGGGCTTTCCTGACTCACCTCAGCCCTTCTCTTGAAGACCCTGTCACCTTGGACTTCCCTGAGCCCTGTTCTGTATTATGCTCTTTAGCCACCTGCTCTCCTCTTTCAGTGTCCCACGTGTCACTCAAATCCCAAGTTTCATATGGGCAGGAACTACATCGTCCTGTGCATTGAGCCAGTGCTCACACAGAAGAGATGCTCAGGAAGCCTCTGTGGGGAGGTGGATCATGATTAAGCCAAAAGGCAAGTCATCTCTAAGGGGTTGGCGAAATACAGCCAGCTTCGGCAAAATGCCGCTTACTTTGCAGGGGTTGGCAAGCTGCGGCCCTGTGTATGTGGAAGTGAAGCTCTATCAGAACGCAGCCATGCTATCTATTCACACACTGCCTCTGACTGCTTTTGTGCTACAATGGCAGAGCTAAGCAGTTGCAGCAGAGACCACATGCTCCATAAAGCCTGAAATGCTTACTATCTGGCCCTTTACAGAAAGGACTTGCAGACACAAGTCCTTTATATTTAAATTCCCATATATTTTTACCTTTCACCTCTTTAGAGGTGAGATTTGTGTGGCCTGTTGAGTAACAGTCAAGGCTGCTTGCAGCTAAGAGACACCTGGCCCTGGAGTTCTGGCCACCCAAAGGCTGACTGGATCCGTGTCCACAGCTGCCACCTGAGCCACAGTCCCCAGCAGCACTGTAGAAAAGAGGTGCAGAAACCCACACTGGCCTTCAGTTCTCCCCGTTCATTTCGAAGCAAAGGTGGCAACACTGGGACAGACACAAAACAAATCCTCCAATCATCTCACAATTTCATGGCCTTTTCCCTCCCTTAAAGAACTTTGGAAGGAATGTCCGCCACCTTCACACAGGCTGAAGACTGTGTTCCACAGATGCTGAATCCAACAAGCTCCAACCCTTGCTTAGGTTAAAAATGGATTAACTTTTTGCCAAGCAGAAGGCCTCAGCATGAACGACCACCCGGTACCTGTGACTCCTGGCTGGAGAGCCCAGCCCGGTGGAAATTCAGGGAAAGGATGAAGATGCTGACAGGTTACAAGTCCCTCCCCACCCACTGACAACGGAGACGCTCGAGCTCTCCAGCACAATGGAGTGTGGCCTACAAAGCCCCCGTTTCCTAGCCAGGTGGAGATGGCCCTCGCTCCGTTCCACCTCCTCTGTGCCCTGCCAGTATCTTCTCTATTCCCCTGTGCTTCCCCATCCTGGTCAGAGACCCAATTGTTCTCTCCATTGCCCACTGAGCAGTGGTCCAGGAGAAGTACTCCAGCAGGTCCCCCTCCCCCGGATGGGCGCTGTTGTTCCTTGGCCCAGGGTTGGGGGCCACCATCTTCCTGTCCCTACCCAGTCTGGCCGAGGAACCCGGCCTGTGAGGAGACGCCATTCCTGCCTCACCATCCCTCTGCTGCCACAATCCATCAGCCTCCCTCAAGCCTCACCTGGCTGATGGCAACAGCATCTTCCTCATCAGTGCTCCTGACTCTGGTCCTTAGCTCTCCAACTGTCCCAATCGGCCCTCCGAACTCTCACCGTCATGGACGACGGTAATCACTCAAGGACATAGCACCCAGGGCCTTCCAAGAAATGGCTGCAGATTGTTGTGTCCCACCTGCCACTTCACTCTGCTAACCATTTCAGTTTCCACAGCAAGGCCCTTCATGCTCTCCAAGTGGGCACACTCTCTCTGTGCACGCCAGGCCTCTCCTGACTCCCCTCCTGGGCACCCCCGTCTGTCTCAATGGGAAGCCTGTAATTCTTGGTAAGTTACTCAATAAGCACTTCTGTTCTGAGGCCTGGCTCCTCTCCTGCACTCAGTGGGAGACCTGGGAATGGGCCTGCCAGCCCCTAGCCTAGAGCCAGTAAGGAGCATCCCTAGCAGGGAGGAGGAGACCCGCTGAAGCCTTTCTCCCTGCACAGAGGAGGACTCTCATTCTGTCCAAATCCCCTGAGCATCTTTCTCCCCCTCCCTGTACTCTCCATCTGGGTCAATGATTTCACTTTCTACTCAGTCGTCTAAGCTGCAAATTTTGACATTTTCTCCAACTGCTCCTTCTCCCCCAACACAGAGCCTGGTAGAAAGCAGTAGGTGACAGTGAATGTTTTCTCAATAAATCTATGTGCCCAAGAAGGGAGACATGGTCTTGGCAGTGCCACCAACCACATCAGAGTTCATCCAAACTGACATTCCACAGAAGAAATTCCCCTTCGCCATCCACACAGCTGGCTTCGTGCTTGAACATGCCCATAACAGGGAGCTCCCATCACACCTCAGCTGCTCTCCCACGGCCACTTGCTCTGTCATTGCAGGAGGTGTATTTTAGCTCAGATTGCCCAACTGTCGTCCCATAATTGTCTTTTACTCTTTGGAACCACATACAACAAATATAATCTCTTAAAAATACCTGACAGGAGTGCCCGTGTTCTCTCCAGGTCTCCTCTTCACCAGCCTCAACCTTCTGGTCCATCTCATTTCAAGGTGCTTTCAGCTTTCCTGAGTTCCCCAGGTGCCCATTTCCACAGGTTTTTTACCTCCCAGATGATGCCTACCATATTCATTTAACATAGCCTCTGCAGGAATGAAGGATTTTAGAAAGCTGAGTAGCTTCCAAGACCACCTACATGACAGAAGCATCCTAGGAGATCCCAACACCAGATTGCTCTGGAAAACGTGCTACTGTGACGGTGATCCCGTGGGTTAGAGCACATGTTTGAAGGCCTAGCCAGGAACGGAGGATGGCCAAAACCAAAACGTGGATGAGGCTGAACATAAAACACACACTCCAGCAGCACATCCCCCATCCTCCTTCCCACCCCTGAGGAGCTCTCCAAATGGTGATCACTGAATTTGCACTTTATTATAGGGTTCAATTTCAGTATAAAATGATCATCTGTGGAGACTGACCACAACTGTTTAGCTGGCAAAAAAATACAAAACAAAACAAAAAAACAGGCTGCGTGTCCTAGAACTAACCAGTTGGTCACCTTACCCAGGAGCACATAACAAAGGAACCAGAAAAAGAATGAGCCCAGAAAGTCTGAGTTTTGGAGGGCTGGGGAAGGATCAGGGAGATGTGAGCTGGTTTTTGCTTGTTTGGTTTCAAGGCACACAGGGAATAGCCCAGAATCCTGGAGGAAAGGTGGGTAGAACACGTGACAGAGAGGAGAAGCCACTGCTGCCACCTGGGCTTGGAAAAGAGAGCAGACATTGGCCGGCACTAGCGACACAAACCACCTGCACAGAGCACAGCCTCAGCCTGCGTGAGCGCTGCCACTTACAGTGCTATAATTTGGGGCAAGTCACTTTAAGCATCTATTTCCTAATCTGTAAAAGGAGAAAATTTCTAATTCTACAGTTGTGGTGAAACTCAAAACTAATTCCTCAGAAAGGGCTACTGTTAACTCTTAAAAACAGTCTAAGAAATGTTATTTCTTCTTGTGGTTAAAAACTAATTAGGAGCCACAATGTTTTGCCACAAACCAGCAGGGTGGTTTGGAGAGATCTCTGGGCTCCAGTCTCCCTGTCTGCAGAGTGGGAAAAACAGTCTGTGCACCGCTGCTTCTCCAAGACCCACCAGTAGAGCAAGGCATGAAATGACAAGTGGGAAAGGACCTGAGAGAGTACTGTGTTCTACGAATGCCAGGCGCTCATTCTCCCCGACACAGTCATGCTCTAGAACACGACAACCTCAGTTTTCAAAGGTTCCTTTCTCCCACTCCCTTCCAGGATTACAGCAGGGTGCACAAACAATGCCAACTGCCAAGAAAGATAATGACCTATGGTGGGTGAGGAATACCTTTCCCTAAAAGGATCCTGCAGCCATCCCCACACCACCCCCCCACACCCCCACCCACACCTAAGCAGAGACCCAGCTGTCATTCATTAGCCAAGGAGCTGGTAAAGTGGTTTACAGCAGCAGAATTTTCAGACAAGTTCAGCAGAGTGGTTCACAGGCAGCAATTACAGACCCCAAAGCCATCCAAGCAGGGCTTACCGTACACGGGTCCAACTTAGAAGGAAGACAATGAACTTCAGGCTGGCAGCCTGCCCTGAGGCCTACTCCAAGGGGAACTCGTGGCCATGACAGCCGACCTCTGCAGTCTGCCACTGCCCTGTCTCTGCTGAGTACTTGGCCAGGGACACCTTCTTGCACTTAAATCCCAAGCCTGGGCTGCTGCCCCTCTATGCTCCTCTTCCTTGTACCCAGTGAGCCAAAGCCTCACCTGCCTGCCTTCAGAGTCTGGCTTAAATCGTTGAAGACATCCTCATAACCTATCTCAGGCCAGGCACAGACAAGCACTCAGAAAAGATAAGCTAAGTGAAAAAACATAACCTCAGGATTTCACTGAAATTCAGAGAAAAATAAACTTTAAATAAAAATGCTTCCTCTGTTTATACAGATGCAATGCAGTTGTTCAGTCTGTCTTTCCAGTATGTTAAATACTTCTTCACAATCGGTTTAAATGAAAATATCCTTTTTAGGCCAGGTTATCTGTTTTGGAGTCATCTCAAGTCAGAGGGCTTGGCTTCCAGCAGAGCCCATCCTGTCAGCCCCAGCCTTTTAATCCATAGCATGATGGAACAGAAAAAGGCTTTAGAACAGAGCTAAGTTCCATTAACGTTTCTAGCACTTAACTTGGAGCATCAGTTTCTTTGGTAAAATAGGGTTACTACTACTTCCAAGAAAGTAGTTGGAGAATTCAGAGGATGCCCAAGTGCCTGGCAAACAAGACACAAACGCTGCTCTCTCTCCTTCCCCTGCCCTTCCTGCTGCTTCAATCTACTGCTGCCCCAAATGACCTAAACTGAAGGCTACTATTCACCTCATTACTTGGTGCATTTAGCTGACACTTGAATGGAGAGACCTTTTGTCCAGGGCTGAAACTGCCTGGGCAAATGGCAGCTATCTTCACCCTGCCCACCAGCAGGATGGCACAGTTCATTTGAAGAAACGACAAAGTTCTGCCAAGACAGACCAAGACGCTCCTCAGAATGAGTAATTCGAATGTTAACAACTGATCCATCAAAGCAAAAAAAAAAGAAGTCCTCCCTCAATGCTCGCTGAATGAGGCAAAGATTCCACCTAACAGCCTCCTCTGGGAGGAACGCACTAACTTTTGCCAGGGCATTAGCTATACAAATATTTCTTAGATTTAAGAAAAACGTCTTGACTACAATGCAAATCTTCTTTGCCTCCTTAAAGGTAACACAGTCCTTGACTACGCACAGTTTTGATAAACTTAGAGCATCTGAGGGCTCAATCTATGTTTGCCACTTAGCTCACCTCTTACCAACAGCCAAGGATGCATCTGCCCACCTGCAGAGGCTCCTGATCTTTGTAGACACACAAGGAATGGAAGATGTACACTCTATTTAATGCAACAGCATCAGTTTCATCATGTACCAATTTTCCTCTTATCGAAAAGCAGCTTCCCAACTGTGTCCAGATAGATGGATAAGTAAATGGACAGACAAAGACAAAGATGAATAGATGGGCAGACATGTTTTCTCTGAGATTAACAGGCAGAAGGGAGGCCTTGTATGGTGACGAACGTAGATTTTTTTCCCCCAAAAGTATCAAAGCAAACTGGAAGGGACAAGCTGTAGGAGTGCTTTTCAGAGAAGCATCCTGGTCCACAGCCTTTTAAGCACACCAATCAGTTTCCTCCCTTCCTTTCTGTGCTTTATAGGAACTTGCTTTCTAACTACTAAACACCGGTAAGTCCCCAAGGTTAGATTCCGGAGACAGCTGTAACGAAACACCTTTCTTTAAATTTACTGCACTGGGTGGACACTTGGACTCAGCAGGTGAATATTCTATGATCAGCCCTTGCACCCTTTAATCCCCCACAAAAAAACAAGTATTTACAAACCCTTGGCAGCAGATCGGCTGGTAATTTAATGACTGTAACAGACACATGAGCGATTTCCTTAAGCTTGGATCTGCTGCAACCTCACCACACTAGCTCTCACCAGGTCTTTGGGGGCTGTCTTTTGTCTAACTCCTAGATACCCGGAGTCCTCTCCCAAAGCCTGGCAGCAGCCAACACCTATCAGCACCAAGGAACCGACACAGCTCCACCCTGAGCCGACTGCACCTGCCTCTCAAACAGCTGTTGGCACACACAGCCTTGCCCTCTTCACATTCATCCTCACCTCAGCCAACCACGGTAAGAACAGTCGACATTTACTGAGTACTTACTATGCACCAGGTACTGTTCAAAACACTTTATGTGTATTAATTCATCTAATTCCTGAGCCCCATGGGAATGTGCTGGAGAGAGAGAAATTCTTTGGCCCAGATTTCCACATGGTTTCTATTCTCTATCTCTAGCTGCGCTGTAAAGCTTACATAACCTAATTTGCATTATAGTACTATTTTTAAAAACCTCCAAAGATTGCTGCTTCAAAGCATCAATGGAATCTGTTAGCTCCTACCTAAAATGATAATGTGGGAAAGGATATCTATTCTTACAACCAACTTAACTGGAATTCTTGACTTAAAACAGTCTTTCAGGAAGATGCTATTAACAAAGGAAGGGACTCATTCTTATATAAATACTAGCTCAGTGCTCTGTAAATAAGGGCTAGAGAGGAACACATCAATATTGAAACCCACCTCAGCAGTAGTTTCTGGCTCTGCAGTTGTTATTCATTTACCACCCATCCCCTTTCCAGGACTCCTAATAACACTGAGAAGTCTGTGGTCACTAGACAGCATGGCGTCAGACTGTAGAGAGTATGAGTTTGAAAACACAGAACATTTCTCATTCTGGTTGGTTCAGGGAGAGCCCCCACCCTCTCTCAGGAGGCACCGGCATAAGTTGAATGGGAATTAGGGGAAGACCATTCACAGAGCAGGTTGTTTTCAGCTTTAACTGCTGTTAATGTCCCTGGTGTATAGGGCTCTAGAAATCTAATTGCTGGGTGGAGGCAGGGCAGGCAGCGGGATCTCCTTAGTTCTTTCTCCTAAGTCACCACTGAAGATTTTCCTCCAGTTATTAATGAAATCTTTAAGAAACAGGGAAGCAAGGGAGACACTTTCCTCATTTGTCATTTAAAAAAAAACGTACTCAGTGTTTAACCACCGTCTGTTGCTATACTATAAAAACTACTTGGAAAGGACTGGAGTATTTGTTATTCAGTTCATTACATTCACTTACTGGACAGAGGTCCATGAACATAAACCACAGTAGGTTTCAGGCTCTCAAAACTGCCAGGGAAATATTTTAAATGAGTGAATTTCCAAGTCACAGCTATTTTGGTGATGTCAGAGGGCCTACATTATTAAATCGTTTATAATTAAACTAATAACTAAGCTAATATTCTTTTTTGCCACAATTAACAAAATATTTGTTTCTCAAAGTAGGATATTTGTAATAGGCCCAATTCCAACAACAAGGAAACTCTCCGAATTAAAATGCTTCCACTGGTCACAGCCTCTGTTCACTCGTACCCAGAAGAGGACCTGGCACCTGATAGGCACTGGGCTGTTTCAGCAGGACTGGATTGTACTCAGTACTAGTCAGCTATGCCTTGTACAACCTTTTAAAGATGCCAAAGCCACATTCAACGTACATACAGATTCTGCATGAAAAAAACAAGAGTTGTTCCAGCAACTTTAAAGTGAATAATCAAAAGAAACTGCTACTTAGAAACAAATAGGAAACATGAAATTCATTTTAATCTACATATATCAAATACAGCCTTAGCACAGAACATCTAACACAATTAAAATGCATTTATGGGACATACCTAAATGAAGCAAATCTTTATTAAAATATCTGGCCTAACCCTCACATCTTTACATGAATGAACTCCATGATGGCTGAATAAGGTGGGAAATAAATAATCTAGCTACCTAACTTGGAAAAGACAGATGGATTGCTTTAAGTCTATTTGGTCTCTGTAGACTCGATATTCACCACCCCAAGTCTTGCTAAAGATGGTACTGCAAATAATTAGCTTAAACCAGTCAGTTATATACTTTTCCATAGTTACCATAATATTTTGGTTTTGTTTTGTTTTGTTTTTCATTTTCTATTGCTTTTTTTTTTTTTTTTTTTTATGGCTTCTTGCTGTTGTTGTATTAGGGCATACAACACAGATCAGAGACTTTCACTTCTCGGAGACATTTCTCTCCTTGAGAAATTGGCACTTTGATCCTCAGCCTGTCTAACAGATCACACATATGATCCTACCAGCACTGTTACCAACCTTGCTGCTTAGGAAATTCCACTGCTTTGGCCAAAAGAGTGCCCTGTCATTAAAATCTTCTTAGATGAACTGTTCCTATCACTGAATTCTTATATTTAAACAGGTATGTGTGTGTAATTTACATACATGTTATTCCCTAAGTTTCTACACACACACACACACACTCTCTCTCTCTCTCTCTCTCTGTCTCTCTCTCTCTCTCTCTAATTTAGTATAAGTGAAATGTCTCTCTTGAATAAAAGTAGTTACAAGGGTATTAAAACAAATGTTGAAAAATAACTTCTTTACATTTAGACCGTACAATTTTTAAAGGTAATGCGATGACATATGACCTAAGAGATCAAATACATCATATATGATTGTCATATATGCATGTTGTGTTATTTTTCTCTTTAATCAGAAAATAAAAGAGCTTACCTTTGTATACTGAGATCACAGCTTACAGTCACTATATCTCAGCCTATTTTATACAAGTGATATGGCTACGAAGGTCCGAGGAGAACGAGAATAAAGTGAGATAAACGTGCTGAAAACTGCTTAAAAGTATTAACCTGAAATACACAGAGGGTCCAACACCAGTTTTAAAAATACATTAACGAGGTATTCCCAGCTCTTCAATTAATAACGGTGGCTGATTCACGATTTTCAAACATTCACCCAAAATTAAAAAAAAGAAAAGAAAATGCCAATACCAGCAAAATCTAACGTGGTTGGTTCCCCAGGCTAACAATTTGAGAGAGACTACAAACACTTCAGGAACTATGTAAACTCAGCTCCTTGCTTCACCACCCATGCACTTCATCTAGTCAGCATGAGGTATGTTGGAAATCTACTGGACCAATTACCTTGCACAAGAGATGGGGTACTCCTGCTGCCTGAAGAAACACAGGCTGCAAGCCACATCCCTGGCTAGGCGCCAGTCCCCATGCAGAGGATATGGCTTCAAGGAGGACCCCTATCTCTTGAGAAATTATAATAGCGCTAACTGACGCAGTCAGGAATGTAACTATTTATGTGCTAAAAAGTGTAAAAACTGTCAGAACACAGCACAGCTCACATACTAATTCTAAGCTCTACATTGATCTGTAAACTCCCTGACAAGAAACTATGCTAAAAGGGGTTAAGTACAGATATTGCTAGGTTTCTAAAGGAAAAGTTTTAAAAGAGACACCGTGGCTTTGAACAAAGTATTGCTCTTCTTTAAAATGATCAGTCATTGCTTTCAAAAAGAAGGTGTCAGAGTGGTGTATCTGAAAGCTGGATAGCCTCAGGGTGTCACATTACTCTTAAGACCAAGACATAGAAATTGCCATTTCAAGCCAGACAACCTGATGGTTCTAGAAGTCAGAGAAGAAATCTTGAGGGCCCAAGTGAATAATAAATGGTGCGACGCTCAGAGGCTGGCAATAGGGGCTGTCAATGAAAAAACCACCTACAGTGGAGAAAAGAGCAGAGAAGCAAAACTTTATGTTAATTTCAGGCAAATTCGTGAAGCCAAGAGCTTCATTTATATTTCTCTGCTCTTTCAGCTGTAAGTGGAATTTTCATTACAAAATGAAAGGGTGGGAAGGGCAACAGGTGGGGGGACACTTAATTCATTACAGAATTTAAACAGTTGAACTTGCATGGTTACCACTTCTAACAAAGGACTGACAGCTCGATTATTTTAAGTAAAGCAGAGAAATGTAAAAGTTTGCAGCAACTGGGCAGGTTTACAACATGGTTAGTAACTTCCAACAAACAACAAAATTAAAAAAAAAAAAAAGGACTTGGGAGAAACCATTTGAAATGACTGCCATCATGTTGGAAAACAGCACAGCTCCCTTTTCACCATTACAGAGGGCATGAGTTATGAAGCAGAGTCAGCTACTTCAAAAGAATTTTCTAATGAGAAATCTCTAGAGATTCCAACTTGGAATCCAAATTTGATGACCAATTTCAAATAACAATACAGCTGCAGCTGCCAATTAATAGTCTTCCAAAGACAATGAGGACTATTGTAAATATTTAATTAATAAAAACTGGACACTACAGCCATGCTTTTTCTTCTCAGTGATGGCTCTGTTTCATCCATAGGTCAGCAAAACGCATCAATGAAACATGAAAACTCCCAGCTGAAATGGGCCCTCTTGTTTATGTCTAGCCACTAATGCACAGGATGAGAATGATACGTTATAGCTATTTCCAGCAAGTGATGAGGTTTTATTAAAGTATCACCCACCACTAATAAAGACAAAAGACCAAGGAGAAGAAACAAACTATGTATCTGAGAAGTGACACTAACATGTGTTGTATATTGCCCATTTCACCTTTGTTTAGTGGTCCCAAAGAAATTTGGTACACAAATTTGCCATATTTTGTGAAACCCATTCTCATGGATGGGTCCTGTCCAGTTAGTTTCCAAAAGCAGAATTTAATAGGGAAAAGGAAAGTGAATTCGTACTAAAAACAGACATTTTTAAGATGTGGTGCCTATAATATTGACAAGGGACCACACTGTTGCTCCTTCATGGGGGTGAGTACCTTAATGAAACCATTTACCTTCTAGTAACATCATTGGCTTTCCAAACAAGGTGAGAATGCAAGTGGAGGACTTCGGTCTGCACCCTTTACAGAACAGCACAATGTTACTGACTGATCCATTTCCACCAGCATAATCGGGTGTCTTAAAAATAAATGCTGACCCATGGCTGAAACCTGTCACTTTCCACAGCAGCACTCAACAAGAACTGGGACAATTGAAGAGCAAGTTTTTATGGGGACCCTGTTGCTGCTTTAGATTCTGATGTAATTGAAGAGGAAAGGAGACCCTTCAATGAATCCCAGCAAAATCACTAATCTTCTATCTGCATGAAAAAAGCCAGGGAGTGAACACAATATCTTACAGAGTGAAGAAGGCCACAAGAACAAGAGAGGGTGATTGATTAATTTATTATTTTTTTTTTAAACTTGGAAATTCATAAACTAAAATAATCACATTCTCCTTCCCCATCTCTGGGTAGTGCCATCATTTGAATAAGCAATGCTCGAATAACAGAATAGAACCCTTATCATGGGGATGCCCTTGTACAACAGAAGTACAGAGGGCTTACAGAGTAAGTAGACTGGCTCAAACTAACAATCACCTTTGCTTTGTTTTAGCAGTTTGCTTACAAGTGAATGGGCTTCTAGGGCTAAGTTATTAGTTTTCAATTCCTTGTAATTTGATACCAAAACATATCAAAAATAATAAGCTAAAACAATATTCAAACCCATATTTTATTGGCTTTATTACACACTTCAATATTTACAAAGTTAAAGTTTAACTGAAAAGTCTCTATTGTATTAAAAAAAATAACTACAGCCCAAATTAAAGTGCCCTGGGGCAAATACATATCAATCAACTAAGAATCAGTGACTGCATCAGGAACCAGGCAGTACTCTGTGTTACAACAAAGCAGTTTATTTGTGATCAGTGTTTGAGACTCTATACATCCTTCACAAATTTAATTTTACATAATCTGATACGTCTCTTAAAACTTAAACTTTGAACTGCTAGAGTTTTATTTCCCTATAACAGAAGGGCTGGTATAAGTTATTTTCCAGAAATGAGGTACCGTTTTCACAGAACTGGTTTCTTTTTTTTTTTTTTTTCTTTTTCTTTTTTTTTCAAGTTTTAGAGAACTAAATTTGCATTTGTTAAAATCAAAAAGTAGGAAAGATGTTCTTTACAAATAATTTTGATCAAGTATGTGTTCAAAGAAAGCAGGATAAAAAGGCTTTTTCTCTAACATTCTGTATTGTACTGTATTGTTGTTCAATAGGAATTAGCTTCTGTCATTTGCTAAAAGAATGAGTAGTGGGGAACAGGATATGTTGGAAATTTCATAACGGGCAACAGAACCATTCTCTTGGGTAAACCTACAGAGGAAAGAAACGGAGAGGACTCCAAATAAGTTTAATACTCCAATAAAAATTTCAGGTAAAAAAAAATCTTACAGTAATTATCCTTAACCTTTTCCAGATTAGTCAGTCAACATTATACCATTTTGCAAGAGGCCTGCAAATTGCTCACAGATCTATTTTGAAATTGCCCTTAATATTCTGATAAATATTATTTTCCACTCAAAATCAGGATGGCTACATCTAGGAGGCAATTTCATTGAGTGAGCTGCCATGAATTCTAAAAACCAAAATCAATCCTGTTGACTAATGTTCTAAATTAACTGTAGAAATCTATATTAGTTCTTAATTTGGCATATCACATATTACAAGAGAAACAGGAGTTATCAAGATTCAAAGCACAGTTTTCTGTGCAGACCTCAGCTCCAACTGGAGCCATGACCAGGTGTTTAACTTCTTAATGGCTATTGCCAATATTGGCGTGGCAAATCTGGAAAGATTAATCACTTTCTGAATTTGTAATTAATACGTTCTTGTGGCCTCACAAACTTCTGCATACTCAAGCATGATTTGAAATCTGCTTCTATTAACTATTCTAGTATTTAACCTATGGAGAAATCACAAAGCAGCAACAGCAGGTATTCAAGAGCACCAGATGATCAGAGGGAAATTACCCCACATGCAACAGCTTTACAAAGGCCAAAAGACATATTTACCTTACAGCCAAAATAAAGCATTGTTTTAGTAGGTTTGCATCACAGTAACATTTAAAAACCAAATCTTTTATGTGAAAAATGGGGGCATCAAATTTCACCAGCTTTGGAAGTCAGTTATATGGCACATGGAAGAGAGGAGCTTTCTTATGTGGGAGCTCAGAGGCCACAAGGGTGAAAGGATAATGTTAAAGAAGGAAAGGGAGGAACAAGAGAGGGAAAAAAAGACCGAGGAAAAACATGAATGTTATTTAGAATCTAGATATAAAAGTGTTTTAAAAGGAAAAATCAAGCTCCAGCAAACCTTTACTGAAGAATCTGAAACTTAGTGTATGTCTAAAGAAAGAGAGACTTAAAAACCTGCCCAGGTGGCAGACGCTTTGGCACTTACATAAGACAAAGTACAGTGAGTCTAGTGAGCCAAAATGTATTTGGACAAACTGACCAGACCTAAGTCACAGAAAGGAAGAGGTGGTCAAGATACCCAGAAGCCAGCTGAATAGTTAAAAGCAAATGGCCAAACCCAAAGGAACTAGAGAGTTTGAATAAAAAAGGAAATCTGGGCAAGCTTATTATTACATTAGTCACCAATTCCTAGTTACCCCATATGGCTCCCGCTCAAAATATGGGGAAGCCTTGACCACACCTGAATGTGCCAGAGGATGGCAAGGATATAGCTCCAGGCTCTGCACTTTGCTGAAAAGAAAATCTGCTCCAAATGTTTGACCCTTGTAGCTTCACATCTTTCTAGGATATAAACTATTTTAATGGGCAAAGTGGTCAAACTATTCACTTTCTACTTATGTCCACAGTTACGAAATCAGAGGCAGCTTCAGTTTAGCAGTGTTTCAGGAACACAATTTTCATCCAAACAAAAATGGCAAAGCAGATGTGTGAAGAGAAAAAGCACAATGTGAAGGCAGAGGACTCATGTAGAGGACTAATGCCAAAACTGGCAATAGAGGAAGGGCCTTTCCCTTCTGTGTGCATGCACACCCAGCCTAGGGCATGCTGACACACACACTCTTGCACACACACTCTCTCATGCTCTCTTCTTTCAACGACACATCCTGCAGATGGCTGATTCTGTAACATGTAGCACCTGAGTAGAAAAAATGTCTAAGAGCATATCACTGACTCCAAACCTATTGCCTCCATTGCCACATAAACCTCATTCAAAAGTTATCCAAAGGGCCACTGGGATTCATTTATGCATTTGCTTTTATTTTTTATTTTGGAGGGGAGAAGAGAAACACCTATGATATTCTAACATGTACTACAGACTTCCTGCAGTGAGCACTTAAGACTGCACTGGTGAAACCCTCTATCACTTCCTCTGTAGGACCAATGATACCCATTTACTTCAACCCAGAAGAAAAGTTATGGAAAAGAATGAAGGTACAAATTTGAAGTGAGCAGTTCCTACTCTTAACTTAAATTACCCACAATTCACACGGTTCCAAACCAGAAACTTAAGTGTAGCGTTATAACTGGTAAGAAGCCAAGCTAGCAACTGGGTATGGCCCTTCAGTAGCCTTTGAATGGAGTATCAGTTGGCTGTAAGAAGAACTACTTAAAATATTTAATTTCAATATGGTCAGAAACAGGCAATTAGAACAAGCAGTCCTTCAATCAGGCAAAGCAGAGAAAAGAGCAACTCCAACCAAACCAAGAACCACAAGGTTGTGGCATTTTCAAAGAGAATTTAAGTTGGGTCACTAGAATGAATAAGTCTGAGATCCTCTGATTCATTTACAAAAACCCTAGATACAAACTGTGCTTTGGATTGCTGTGACAGAGTCGCTAAGAGGAGACATCAGTAAGATGGTGTACATACCATAGGCAGGGGCAGCTGTGCTGTAACCATATGGTGTTCCATACCCTAGTGCAAAGAAGAAGAAGGTAGATCAGTCCAAGACCCAGGGCAATCATCACTGGTCCAATTCACAAGCACCACCTGCTCGGCATCCTGGGCCCTGAGGACTTCTTCCAGGTGCTGGATGAATGAGAACCACTGACAGAGTAGTGGTCCTAGTCTAGCCACTCACTGTGTGCCTGCTTAAGATGTGGAAGCTCCTAACCATGGCCTGCAAGGCTCTCCTAGATATACCAGACTGTTCTTCATCTCTTTCTCGCTGCACTTACCCACACTCTGTTATAACTATCAATTCCTTGTCTGTGTTTCCCACTAGAGTGGCAGAGACCTGGTCAACCTTATCCGTTGTTGCAACATCTGAACCTAGCAGAATGCATGAAATAAAATAGCCACTCACTAAATATAATTTGTTGAACAAAAGAATGTTTAAAACCACTCCAGCTACCAATTTCTCAAAGTTGGCAAACAGAACTTTCCAAGTTTTGTCAGAAAGTAGTGAGAGAGCAGGCTGAGGTCTCAATGGCCATTAAAAAGGGCACATTAGTCAGGTTGTGGGCCCAAGAGCAAGGTCTATGACTTTGCTGATATTTCAATTTCTAGCCCAAGTACAGGGTCTCTCTGTAAATGCTTCTGGTGCCTATAAAAAAGGCTCATATTATTAAGTAAAAGCTAGTACAAAGAAGTTTTTATACCATATTAGTTTGGGCACTAATTTCTGATATGTCCTTAGATAATTAATTTGAGTCACCATTTTCTCATCTGTGAAGTTGGAAACCACCCAGGCTACTTTATGATGTCACTGTAGGGATTAGAAATATTATCTATATTAACAGAAGCTGCAATCTTTACTTTTAGTAAAACATCTTAGAAATAGGTAATATGTAAATAAAAATCACTTGGGGCCAGGTGTGGTGGCTCACGCCTGTAATCCCAGCAATTTGGAAGGCTGTGGCGGGAGGACTGCTTGAGCCCAGGAGTTAAGAGACCAGCCCGGGCAATATAGTGAGACCCCATCTCTACAAAAAAAAAAAATTAGCTGGGCATGGTGGTGGTGCATGCCTGTAGTCCCAGCTACTTAGGAGGCTGAGGTGGGAGGATCACTTGAGCCCAGGAGGTGGAGGCTGCAGTCAGCCATGATCACACCACTGCACTCCAGGCTGGGCAACAGAGAGAGACCATGTCTCAATAATAATAATAATCACTTTTCATTTATAAATGAAAAAAATTTTTAATGTAGAAAAAGGGCACAAAATCGCCATGGCAACTTTACACAGTACCCAAAACAAATTGAGCTTTTTCACATTACAACTCCATTTTTTGTAACCATTTCTGCTGTTCAGAATGATTTTGTTCCCTCCTTCTCTAGATGACCAAATGCAACTCACCCTTGAGACCAGGATCAAATATCACCTCCTCTAGGAAGTCTCCCAGGCTTGCTGTTCTCTCTCTTGCCCAAACCATATTACACTTGCATCCTATTGCATTGTGTTTATTCAATTATCTGGTCCTACCCCAAGCAGGGGCAGAGGCTACATCTTTGAATGCCCAGTTCTAAATCTCCTGTTTGAGACACTGGATTCAAATGTAAGCTGAAGAAGTAAACTGCTTTTAGGAACCAACTGAAACAGTTCTGAGGGATGAAAAATTTTTACTTTTTAATCTATAGCTAAGTCATATAACTCAGTCTGGGTGTTCACTAAGTCATATTCAAGAGGATACAATGTAGCTGAAATAAGCAGTAGGAACAGGAGACAGATCAGAGGCCAATAAATTAATGCTTTAAAAAGGGTGGCTATCAAATTTATTCCAGAAAACAGAAGCTGTTTGCTTAAGGCTGAAGTTCTAGGGATTATACCACAACCACCTTAGGAGAACTGGGACTGTAAGTACTAACCAGGTCATAAATCAGGCCATTTGAGTTCTACTTCTGACTTCACCTTTTAGTAGCAAGTTATCTATAAATCGCACCTGTTATTTAACCTCTCTAAGCTTCAGCATCTACGTACAGTAACTGAGTTGCCAGGGGAATTTAATTAAATAATACATGTCAATATACTGACAATAGTCCCTGCTACACAGAACGTACTCTGCAAATGGTATATAACCTATTTATAATCTGAAATGACCTAATCTGAATCTTCTTAGGCCATAAAATAACTTCATTTTTAAAGAATTCAGGAGACAGGCCTTTCAGAGAGGTCAATGCAATGACACAAGAGAGGAGTCACTATAGAGAAAAGCTTGGCAACCAGCAGCCATAAATGGTTCCTTCCATGATTACTGCCACTGGACCATAGCCACTTACCACTCTAACAGGCGATAAATGGTCCACAGCGACAAGAGATGTGACCAGATTAAGCCCCAATGGAACACATCATCAAAGATAAGAAAGATGGTTCATCGCAATAACCTGCTTATTATTGTGAATGAAAGCTTTCCCCTTCCAATAATACAGTGAATAAGGTTAAAAATATTAAGTTTCAGTAGAAATAGTGAGACATATTGAAGACTGCCTTAATTTTAGACACAAACTATATCACACCATAAGAAATTCATAATCTTTTCCTTTTTCCCCCAAAAGGAAAAATCCTAGGAGTTAAAATATCCTTGAAACATCACTCTTCTTTCTATATATTAAATACGTCAATTTGGTCTCTTAATATTCTTCTCATCTATTCTCTTGTCTCCCCCTATCTACTTCCCTGCCTCCAGCAGCAATACTATCAATGTCTCTTGCCTGCGTCAGTGGTCTTCAGTAGCCTTTTTTTAACCAAGGCATAATAAATGTACATAGTCCCGGGGTTTGTGTGATAATTTAATGTACCCATGTAATTTATACGGATCAAATCAGTGAAACTAGGACACCCATTATTTTAAGTATTTGTCCTTCCTTTATTCTAGAACCATTTGAATTCTTCTCTTCTAGCTAGTTTGAAATGTACAATACATTACTGAAAGCTATATGCCTTCTAACTGATCTTGTCATGCCCACACCTATCCCTGCAATCTGTTCTTCACACTATAGAGAGACCAACTTTCACAAATAAAGTTTGATCTTGTCACTGTTCTCCTTAGAACCCATCAAGACCTAACACTGCACTTAGGGTTATAAGACCAAAATCCAAACAATGGCCTCCAGGTCTGAGACTGAGTCATCCAGCTTTAATTCTCATCATTCCCCAGTTTCTCCACTTCTGCCGCTCAATGCTCTCCACACTCCACATATTTTGGACTTGTGCTTTTTCAGTTGAGCCAAATTCCCCAACAACAGCAACACAGGGTCTCTGCATATGCTGTTCCTTCTGTGTGCAGCACTCTCCCATCCCAGTTTCTTTGAGTTATCTCCTATTCATTCTCCAAAGCTCAATTCAAATGTCACTTCTGGGAAGTCTCCAGGGACACACTAAACTAGACCAGGTTGCTGTTACATGCTCTAATAGCAGCATGTCCTTCTTTTTCATTGCACTTATCTCAGTTTATCATTGTTATTATTTGATTAATCTATGTCTCACCCTTCAGACTATAAGCTGCATGAGAACAAAATCCATGTCTGGTGTGTGCGAAAGCAGGCATACTCCTTGAGCAATTTACCTACTAGATTAGCTTCTAGAAGAATCATTCCAAAGCCACATCATAAAATTTCCCAAATGGCCTTGTCTAATTCTTTCTTAGAGGAAAGCACAAAGTGAAACCTTAGGGATGTTACCTGAAAAATAACGACTGGGTAAGACCCAATCTTCATGACAGTTCCATCTTGATCAATATTTCCAAGTTTTACTTGTCCAGTTAAAAGTACTATACTTTCAGTATTGTCAAGAACTTGATTTTTAACAAGACAGCTGGATAAGCTACTGTTAAAATGACCTAAGAATTAGAATGAACGGCAGAGAGAAGGCATTCCCCCAAATCTTCTTGAAGAATGCAAACACCTACATTCAAATCCTTGCTCTGCTGTTTAGTGGTTGCTTCACCCTGAGCTAGTTCCTTCCTTGGAAAATAATTCCTACCTGATCAAACACTGTGAAGATCAAAAACAATTAAATAAAATTATTTACATGAAAATATTTAGTATATATAGTAAGCTCTGAATAAGTTTCTTTTTCTTTTTTCCCCTTCTGTACTTCTTTAGCCTTTGATGGTTCTCAAATGTTAAGTTTAACAAACACTCATAATGCCAGGCTTTGCCCTAATTAAGTAATCTCTTAGCAGCTTTTCTCTCCTGTTATACCCAACCTGTGATCTATGTCCTCAATGAATACACCCTGCTCAGACATCCAAATTCTCAATCTATGCAACATCCTTTAATTCCCTGTCAAAATACAGTCCTACAACCAAATACAATACTGCTCATTTGTCATCTCCCTCCAGGAAGCCTCTACTCACTCAGCAGATTCCAGGAGAACACCTATGACATTCTGTAAATTCTCTGCTTTTAAATTTCTGTGTACCCTCATGCCTGTGTTTTATTTCCAAAAACCCTGTACAACCTTAGAAAACGAAGGAGATGCTATTCTATGAATTTTGGTCCAGAAAAGGCAGCCAATCTCTTGCAGTTTGTACTATACCTGGAGCTATGTAGCCAGGAGCAGCTGTCGCCCCAACAAAAGCTCCCCTTGTTAGAGTTCCTCTTCCTCTGCCCCGAACAGCTTGGACTGCTGCAGACACAGCTGTATTCACAACACCCTTTGCCTGTTAAAATAACACATTTTCATTACTGAAAGAAATAAGAACCAGCTCATTTCTTCTTTCTATCATCTCTTCAATGCACAACTACTATGAGAAACTGTGAGCACATGGCTGAGATCATGAGCTATCTGTGATCTTGAACCTTCAATTTATCATCTGAAAAACAAAAATGATACCTACCTTACAGAGATGTTCAGAGAATATGCAAAGAGCTTTTTACTTGAGGGTTATCCAGAAAGAGTTAATTTTCTACACCAAATTTTCAGTAATCAATTTATATCCAAAGTCATTTTTAGGCCTTACTAAAGTAATAATAGGCACTTGATACCTAGGTTCCAAATCCACTGAATTATCTCCCGACAGGCAGAAAACATCCCAGCAACTAACTACATAGAATTAGCTGTGAATCTGAGTGGGGCTAGTTGGGGGAAAATATACAGGGCTAAGACAGGAGGATCAAAAATGAGGATGCCAGTTCCTGCTCTAAGTAACTGTAACCTCAGGAAGGTAGCATGATTTATTTGGGCCTGATTCCTCTGCTGTTTGTGTATGTATGTATCCATAAATTTCTTTTTTTTTTTTTTTTTTTTTTTGAGATGGATACTTGCTCTGTTGCCCAGGCTGGAGTGCAATGGCGCAATCTCAACTCACTGTAAACTCCACTTCCTAGATTCAAGCAATTCTCCTGCCTCAGTCTCCCAAGTAGAAGGGATTACCAGTGCCCACCACCATGCCTGGCTAATTTTTGTATTTTTAGTAGAGACGGGGTTTTACCATGTTGGCCAGGCTGGTCTTGAACTCCCGACCTCAAATGATCCACCCACCTCAGCTTCCCAAAGTGCTAGGATTACAGTTGTGAGCTGCCAAGTCCAGCCCGTTATTAAATACCACTTTGAAAGCCACTACTTGGCCAGACATAGTGGCTCACACCTGTAATCCCAGCACTTTGGGAGGCTGAGGGGGGCAGATCACCTAAGGTCAGGAGTTTGAGACCAGCGTGGCCAACATGGCAAAACCCGGTCTCTACTAAAAATACAAAAATTAGCCAGGCATGGTGGTGTACGCTTGTAATCCCAACCACTGTGGGGAGGCTGAGGCAGGAGAATCACTTGAACCCAGAAGGCAGAGGTTGCACTGAGCCGAGATCACGCCACTGCACTCCAGCCTGGGCAACAAAGTGAGACTCTCCCAAAAAAAAAAAAAAAAAAAAAAAAAAAAGCCCCTTCTTGCTCTAAAATGCCACAGAAATCTCCCCACTAATTATAAAATGTGGAAAATGATACCCACTTTGTTTTCTTTACATTAGAGTAGAAAGAACAACCGGGAGTTATCAAATAAGAATGATACCCACTTTGTTTTCCTTATTTTAGAGTAGAAGAAAACAACTGAGAGAACAGATACGAAATCATTCTAAAAGTACAACAGATAATACCAGGAGTAAGACTAAACAGGACTACTGAAAAAATCCTTTCCCAAACTAAAATTTTAAGAAAATCAAAAGGTGTCTAGTTTCAAACTGAATATTATACTTATAGAAATGCAACAAAAACTCAGGCTAGAAACAATTAAGATTCCCCACTATAACCAAGGTGCAAGGAATGGTACAGAACCTCAAAGCATACTGTATGATGAGGTCAACAGTGTCTACGGAGCTGAAAGAGTCAGAATACACACACATTTATCTCCTTTTGAAAAGGCATCATCCTTTATTCTTTCCAGGATAACCTCTATCTCTAGTATCAATGGGCAGGAGACAGTTTTAAGGTCCAATGTGTCATGCACAGGGACTGCCTTTTTTGTTTTTGTCTGAAATAAACCAACCCACATATCCAAAACAGACTGCTTCTTGGCTGTCAAGCACACATTGAACACATGAGTTTTATAGATTCTAGTATGGAAAATTTCTAAAAATGAGTGAAATTCATGTAGACATCTTTCTCTTTTTTTAACATGACTTGGTCAAAAGTAGTCAGGAAGCAACAATCTGGCAGTAGCAGAGTGATTCCACATAAATCTAGCTCATGTCTAGTAGAAACAAACTTAACTGCCTAATAAATATTTGTACATGGGCTTTTTAAACACTAAAATTAACTGACCAAATATAAGGTGTAATATGGGGGAGTATCCACCATAAAACAGGGTAATAATCATCTTTCAGCTAATTTAGAACATACTTTGTTCTGTATTTACCAGAAGATTTTAGAAAAGAAAATCTACTTGTTCTCAACATATATAGTTTAAAGGCTTTTAAAATTTTTTCATCTCAGTAAAAGTCAATTTTCTCTATCTTTTGGCTCCTAGAATTTAATCAGTGTTTATTATAGCAAATACAAGAAATTTAAAAGAATACAAAACAAATTTCGAGACTGATACAATATGCAATAGTAAAATGTCCATAGCCTTTGAAAGAAGAACCTGGTTCTAGAAGGAACCCCTACCATCAATTAGCTATGTTACCACAGGCAAGTATTTCAATTTCTTTGGGTCTTGTTTCCTTACCTGTAAAATAAGATTAATTCTACTCTCCTACAAAGGACTCAGCATATACAAAGGAATCTAAATATAATGTTTAATGTAGAATTAAAGAATCTAAGCTTCCTTTTATTAGTTTAAGCATTTTTAATGTGTTTCTATCACATAATATATTCAGATGTTATGTTATTATACCAGTACTCTCCATGAGGCACAATGTGTCTTATATTTACTTATATAATTCTTTCTCCCTCACTATCAGGCATATGGTGTTTGCTTTTTGAATGCATAAATGAATAGATGGAAGAATTTCATATCCACAAGCATGTAATTAGGGGGCCATCTTTTCTAATACCTTGCTAAGATCCTGGACATTCAGTAACACTGACATTCCCAACGTCAGTAATGAAGAGAAGCAATACAGCGCCAAATTTTATGCGGTCTGCAAAGGAAACCCAAAATAATACAAAACGACAAAACTGCAAAGGAACTGAAAGAGCACCTGCAGACTCACGAAAGCAAAGCCCCAGGTACTCTTGGCAGCTTCCCTAAACTAAACTGCTTATACCCCATTAAGGTCCAAATCACCTTAAAACTTTACCTCATCAAGAATGACCTCAACCCTCCAAATAATGCAAATAGCCTCATTTATATTTACACATATATACACACACATATATACGTATATATACACACATATATACGTATACATACACGCACACACGCACGCGCGCGCGCACACACACACACACACACACACACACACACACACACACACAATTTGCTTAGAAAGACCATAGAACAGGTAACCACTAATCAGATTTATATTATTCATGACCTAACCCAAAGCAAAGGTTTGCCAAGACCAAGGAAAAGAAACAACTTCAGAAAAAGCTAAAATGGCACGTGGACAGGAAAGAAAATTTAATTTCTGTAACATTTTTCACAGGTTCTGCAAAGGTTTAATGTTAACTCATACCTGAGGGATAATCTTCTTTTTCTTGTTATTTGCTGCATTAGGTCCAGAAAACAGCTTCTCCAAGGCAGCTAAAGCTGCACTCGCCTTGGCCACTTTCTTATTTGGACCTGCGCCTCTGAATTTCTGTCCATCTACTTCTACCTAAAATCAAGAATAACCTTGCAATTATCCCATGCAATTCCTCTATTCCTTTTAATTTAAAGATATTATGACACAGAAAACACCGAGAATCAAATAGTGCCACAAGAACTGACTCAGTCTAAAACTTTTTAAAATGTAAGTTCAGGATATCCTATGTCTTTGAGAAGAAAGATAAGGCTAGCTTGTGTCTGGGTACACACCTCCATTACAAAGCGCTTGTCATGGCTTCCACCTGTTTCTGAGATGAGTTCATACTTGAGACCTCTTCTTTTTTCATTGAGCTCCATTACAGGGTTTTTGCCACTTGCTGTAAGAATAGGGCCCTGAGTTCTTACCTGTAAGAGAAAGGGAATCTGAAGGTTCAATCAAGTAAGATTTTAGAATATTACATTTCTTATTAATACAATTATGCTAAGAAGGAGGCTCAAAAATTCTACTTTAAAGAATAAGTCACCTCTGTACACAAATAGCAAAATATCATTAAAGCTGTAAAAACTCTACAAGCAGTAAACACTGCGGTCATCTCTTCAAACCACTATTCAAGATCAATGCAGCCTCACCATTATGGGCCACTCCAGGCTCTGCTCTGTAGTGTTCATGATCTAAGAATAACACTCTAAATTACTAACAAAGTTTGGATTCACATGATGCCTGAGGGTTCATCATTTTTCCTCTTTAGGATTAGGAAGAACTAACTCTCAATTTGGGATGTGAGAGGGGGAAATGTTCCTATACACGTCTCAGTCACTCTGAACAGATTTAAGGAGACCTAAGGCTATAGATTCTGAAAATTTAAAATAACACTAAAAGCAGTCACTCCCAGCCCTCAAAGAGCTACAGTGTAGTGGGAGGGACAGATAGCATTACTGCAAAATAATGTATGTTAGAGAGCAGATATATGCTATGGAAACACAGTAAAAAGGATCAGTGTCTAGGGCAATCAGGATAGTTTTCCTAGAAGTGACATGTAAGCCTGACCTTAAAGGGTTAAGTACCAGACCACCATCATGGGGAGGCAAGGGAGAAGGCCTTCTGGACAGAGCAGCAGCAATATAAAGGCCCAAGAGAGGAAAAGAACATTTGGGGAATGGCAAGAAGTTCAGTCTGGCGTATAAGAAAGTGAGGAGAGGAAGCTAGTGTATTAGGATCTAATTAGAAACACCACTAATGGGGCCAAATCCACACAGGACTTTGTACGCCAAGCAGACAATCTTTGACTTAATTAGGGACAGTCAAGAGCCACTGGATGAGTTAAACATGAAAACCATCATGATTAGACATGTTATAGAAAAACCACTCTAACAGTGGTAGAAATAACTGACTTGAGGAAGGATAAGAATAGAAGTAGTGAAGTAATTAATATAAGAGTGTGAAGGTGCAAATGAAAAGAGAGGCTAGCATCAAAAGGAAACAAATCCACAAAATACTAAAACTATAATTTTGAGAAAGAAGAAACCAAAAGATAGAGCACTTTTTGAGACCAGAGATCATGTTTGTAATTCCACCACAGTAATTACTCAAGAAATGCCGAACACAAAAAATCAATGCCCAAAAGTGCTAAAAAACGTTCTTTTTTTTTTGGAAACGGAAGCTTGCTCTGTCGCCCAAGCTGGAGTGCAATGGTGCAATCTCGGCTCATTGTAACCTCCACCTCCCAGGTTCAAGCAATTCTCCGGCCTCAGCCTCCTGAGTAGCTGAGATTACAGGCACCCGCCACCATGCCCAGCTAATGTTTATATTTTTAGTAAAAACAGGGTTTTGTCATGTTGACCAGGCTGCTCGCAAACCCCTCACCTCAAGTGATCCACCTGCCTCGGCCTCCCAGTGTTGGGATTACAGGTGTGAGCCACCACAGCCGGCCCAAAGTATTAACTATTACATATATAAAACTAATGAAAATCAGGATTCTCTTGGCAAAGTACTCTGTGCTGACTGGATACGCGGTTGATGTTTCAGATGTGAAACATCAAAGGAGAATTTTTAAGGACAAGTTTAAAAACATTCCTGGATCTTTGCAGTAAACATCTCTTCTTCTTGAGTTTTTATAATCTGCATTTTTTAAATTTCAAGGCAAATTTCTAGTCACTGTCATTAAAAGATGATGACTTTGGAAACTAGGTCTATAGTAACCATTCTATGCTTTCCAAACCTGAAATCATGTCTACAAAAATGAGTCGAGACATAAAAATATCTGAATTTTAATAAATTACTATTATTTTAAATGAAGAAATAAATAAGGGCTTTCTTTTTTCTCCCTGCTTCCCCTATTACTACAATGTACAGAAACAATGTATAGATGTAGTCACTATCAAAACTTTGTGTGTCAGTGTGGCTGCTACTAGTGCAGCCCACACTGCTCTCTCCTTTCCTAATTATCTTTGTACTTAATGGTTTGGACCTCATAATTAATAAGCCCTTTTTTTCTTTTAGTATATGTATATAAACATTGTCAGCAAAACAACTCTTGACCTGTGACTACCACCTGTGAATGACCAGTACCTCTCAACCAGCCATGACATCATCTTTCCTCCACAGCATCACACCAAGTGCCAAGTGTGGCTTTCTCAGGCTTCAGCCCCAACAATCCTGTCCATGCTGGCCCACTTGGCACTTCTTCAACATTTACTTTCACAACTTGAAGTCATCACACCTCCTCTTCCTTCAGTCTAGAACGCTTTCTCTTCCACGCATGGCAAAGCTCATCATCTGAAGCCTTGCTCACAGTGGACTCCATTTGATTCTACATGATTGTGTAAGTGTATGTGTAAGAGTCTCACAACCCTTTCATTCTTCAAGATTTGACATTATTATGTCCATTTTGCCATCACAGTGCTTATCATATTATATTATCATAAACATGTATTTTTGCCCTGTTAGCCTGGGAGCAGCTCCAGGTTCTGCACAAATTTCTGCAACACCTGGCATTAAGCAGGTATTAAAAGGGATTTATGGACTAAAAAAAATTCATTTATTAATTAAGTCCTTAATAAATACTTATTCGTACAAATGACAAAGTAAACCTTTTTTTAATGTAAGCTCTTGTTGTTACTTTAAAGCTAATTTCTTTACATAGAATGCAGTAAACATGGAAACATGGGTTCCATGAACTCCCCAATGTATTGTGTATACTCAGTACTTGGATTTCATCCCATTCTATTATCTGTGATAAGTTAACAGGTCAGGACTTGATTAGAGTCTGAGGTACATACTGGGTCAGGGTATGCTTCCTTCAGGACTGGACCAACTAAACGATGACCCAGTGCACCCCACAGCTTAGCCCAAACTTCAAATAATCCCAGAGTTCCTCCACTAGATCTTATAGTTTTCCAGCCATAAGTTATAACAATGTTGATAGTCTTGTTGTATTATGAAATACTGGAAGCAGCTTCCATGGCCAGCAATCAAGAAATACCAGTTAAATTAGGATATATTCATGTGTGGCACAGTTTACAGATATTTTTAAAGTGAAAAAAATCAAGATGTAAAACTGCATGAAAATATGACTGCCTTCACAGAGATTCATGAAAAAAACTGGATGGAAATAAACCAAAATAATAATAATGTCTGCCTCTGTAATGTACAGTTTTATATATGCTTTTGATTCTTATTTATACTTTTCCACATCTCTCAAATTTTCTACAATGCACATATATATTACTTTTTTTCTGAGAAAAAAATAAGTATACCTCTAAGGTACTGGAGGTTTCAGTTGTAGAATTTCCAGTATTATTGCTTGAGTTTGAAGACACTGTTTCATTTTTACTTTCATTATCTGATTTTTCATCGGAACTCATACATTCAATATCTGCATCAAAGCCTGTTGGATATCCCATTGCCTGTAATACCTGTTCAAATTACATTAAGATGCAGTTTTATTCAGACATGAGAAACCAGAGAAAAGACAAAATATTGAGAACAAAAGTTTCAAATTCATAGCATGTGAACCATAAAACACCTTGCAGGAACAGCAAGATGGTACTAAATCTGTAAGTTCTTTGTTAAATAGGGTATATACCTACCAGGGTAACACCATGGAAAAATGGGAAAACCTCCTCAGGGTAATTGAGTTTAAACATGGATGACAAATATAAACCTGACACTACTCCTAGTTCATTTAATTTGGAGGTGAGAGGTAGAGAAAGTAACAGCATAGGTAGGTTCAAACCAATAGGATAAGGACAGAAGTAGCATACTGTAAAAAGTACACTGGTCTAGAAAGGAAAAAATCTGAGAGTCTAATCCTGTATTTCTCCTCTGGCCCTCAACTTTCCAATCCATAAAGCACAAAAACTGCATGGGTTTACTTCTAAGTTCTATGACTCAATCCATTAGGAGAAATTGCCCCAGAAACACAAGAAATTTTATGCCTTTGAACGAACTTGCCTGTCAATTACAAAATAATATCTAAAACTTTCTCCTTTGCTTCCAATGTAAAATACAATCAAAACTTAAAAGATTCAGTCTCGGCCAGATGCAGTGGCTCACACCTGTAATCCCAGCACTTTGGGAGGCCAAGGCGGGTGGATCACTTGAGGTCAGAAGTTAGGGAACAGCCTGGCCAATACGGTAAAACCCAGTCTCTACTGAAGATACAAAAATTAGCTGGGTGTGATGGCACACACCCGTAATCCCAGCTACCTGGGATGCTGAGGCAGGAGAATCACTTGAATCTGGGAGGCAGAGATTGCAGCGAACCGAGATTGCACCACTGCACACCAGCCTGGGCAACAGAGTAAGACTCAGTCTCAAAAAATGAAAAAAAAAAAAAAAAAAAAAAAAATGCAGTCTCTAGGTTTATTCTCTATACTAAGTAAGCCAGGAACAATTTCAGTCTTGTATTTCCATCCCTCTCTCTCAAGGACTGATTATGGCTACCTCCAACGTTAAACTTCTTACACTTCCTATACTTTCATTCGATGTGTAGGATTTTTCTTACTTTTTTGAAATAAAGCTTTCAGAAAAATGTGTATGTGTTTGTGTGTGACTGTGCACAGGCATGCTCGCACACCTCCGCACACGTGTGTGCCTTTTAACATCTTCCTGATTATACTGCTTTTTAGATGTTTACAAGAGAATATGTTCACTTTTTGTAAGCCTCTTTCAAAGGGTGTTGATATAGCTTTGTCACTTACTAATTAAAGGTTTAAATCAAAGGATATAGGGATAGATTCCTAAAGACCTCTGGATTTGTTTCCATTTTTAATTAAGTTGCTGAGATGTGGCGTGGTGGCTCATGCCTGTAATCCAAGCACTTTGGAGGCCAAGGCGGGCAGATCATCTGAGGTCGGGAGTTCAAGACCAGCCTGACCAACATGGTGAAACCCCGTCTTTATTTTTTAAATATTAAAAATATATATATATAAAAAAGAAGTTGCTGAGATATAAAAGCAACATATTTCTTCATAATCACTGTACTGTACATAAGTGTAAAATGGTTATGGTGGCTACACAAGTGACAAGCCAGCCTTTATAAACAATCACATCTTGTATAAAGGATTTTGCCAATGTAAGTAAAACTGTTATCCTAAACCAAAAAAATGGATGTACATAGAACTCTGCACCAGGAGAACTTGAAATTAATTCACACAATTCATATGGAGAACTTGGCATTCTTATCATAAATAAATGTCTTGAATTTACTTGGGAGTAAAGCCAAGAACGCTTTTTTAACATCTTAAGTTCTAAAAGTGCTCAGGTAATACTTTACACTAAGAACATTAACATCATTTGTTTATATTAGTATTTTATTTAAAAAAACACCTTTTCCACTGTCTGAGTCATGTAAATATGCTGTCCCTGAGAAATCTCATCTCAGATAAGAGCTATCATTCCAAATTAACACTAGCTAACATAAGCTGTGAGTCAAAAGCCAAACATCACAAATAAGTTTGATTTGTTTATTCCATTAAAACTAAAGACATTCATCTTTTCTCAACATAGACAATAAAAATAGTCTAATATAAATACTTAATATCACCTCTCGCCACCCTTTTCTCACATATCAGATTCACTTATTATTACAGCGATATATTTCAATATGTTTACAAATACTTTATATAAATGGTAGATTATATCTCAGGGAATACAGTGTCCAACACAGTGTAACCAAAAAATTAAATCATTTTTAACAACTGATATTCTGAGTATTTACTAGCATATGCTAAGAAGTCAAACAAGCAAGGAGTTCTCAAACCTCTGCAACTGATAAAGATTCTCTTCTTAACCAAACTCTAGACAGGATCCTCTGAGCCATGTTTTTACCTAGGCCCCAACCTTGGGCCTTGTCCTTAAAAGCCAAGTTGTATTAAGAATCCTGCTAAATTAGTTCAGCCAGAATCCCACACCTTTAATATCTAATCACCCTTAATCACCCTTGGTATCTGATCAAATCTTCTCATCCCCCATTGAAATGGTTTGTGTCCCCACCCAAACCTCAAATTGTAATCCCCAGTGTTGGAGGTGGGGCCTGGTGGGAGGTGACTGGATCATAGGGACAGTTTCTAATGGTTTAGCACCATCCCCTTCGTACTGTCTCATGACAGAGTTCTTACGAGATCTGGTTGTTTAAAAGTATATGGCACCTCCTTGCGCTTTTCTCTTCCTCCTGCTCTGGCCACATAAGAAATGCCTGCTTCCCCTTCCACCATGATTAAGTTTCCTGAAGCCTCCCTAGAAGTCTCTGTGCTTCCTGTACAGCCTGCAGAATCGTAAGCCAATTAAACCTATTTCCTTTATAAATTACCCAGTCTCAGGTGTTTCTTTATAACAGTGCAAGAATGGACTAATACATCCATCACTGCCTGGATGGTATCTGATTATCCTAGCCTTCTCTGAGCAAAAATCCTAACAGGTCCATTTAACCAGAAATCCCCCTTCATCCTGATATTTCCTCTTAGTAATTTTCCATCCACTGATCCATCCCTGTTCCTTGGCTACAAATCCTCACTTGTCCATATTGAACTTGGAATTGAGCCCAGTTCTATACTAAGGTCTCTTTCCCCTATTGCAATAACAGTTCCTGAGTACATACTTTTTTTTAACCGTTTAAACTGTCCCACTCTGGTTTTCTTTGACAGAACCAAGTTTGTCTGAAATCCATGTTAATACTAAAAAACTAGTATTCCAAAGAAAAATGAATTTCAAGTATCTAGCAAACAAATACAAACCTAATAAATACATCAATGGAGCTAAAAAAATCACAAGATAACTCATGGAAACAAGGTGACTGGGAAATCATCTGTGTGTAACCAGATCCCTTTCTTCCTGGAAGAGGGCTGAGGTTAAGAAAGGTTGAGACTGAGAAAGATGATACCCTCAAATACTAGGGGCCAAAAGTGAAAAGACAACACATGGCACTCTATATTATGGCTCTCTACTCTAAAGTAAGTAACATTCATGGCTTCTGTATGATAGAGATCTGATTTCATCAGATTCTCAGGAAATCTGATGTCTCTAAGAACCTCTCCAAAGAGCCTTCCCTTCATCTTCATCCCCTTCTAGCTGAATTTTTCCCCACAATGACGAAGATTATTTTCATGTAATATGATTATGACCCTAAAGGTATCCTTTGTGAGGGGCTGCCAGGATAAAGAAGTGGAAGAATAAAGGGAAGACTGGTCACTAATTCTCCATCACTTTAGGGTGCTTGCTGTCCTGCAGCCAGGCCAGGCTCATGTGAAAGGACTGATTTCTTCTTGTTTTCTTTTGATTTGATTCTCTGGTGTGATTTGTCATAATAGGTACAAAACCCTCACCATGCTATTAAGAACTAAAAGAATTTTGACCTACTTTCAAAAATACGTTAGACGCAAAATTCTTTCTCAAACTCATTTATAAACAGAATGCGTAACATGGAATATAACCTTTATGGATAACAGTTTGGTAATATATGCCTGGCATGTAATAAGAATTCCAATGCACTTTTAAACAAATTAATGAATCAATAAAATGTGTTTACCTTTTGACCCAATAATTCCATCTCTAGAATATATATCTTAAGGGATCATCAGACAAGTTCAAAAAGATGTAAAGCAATAAAATGGAAGCATCTAAATCTAAAATGATTAGTTACATTATGATAATGTAACAGACCATCTGCTAATAATGAAATGTTAGACCATCACTAAAAATAAGAGCAATCTTTGAGTTAGTTATTTAAAAATTCATAATATATTTTTAGATGAAGAGAGTATAGGCCAGGCACAGTGGCTCATGCCTGTAATCCCAGCACTTTGAGAGGCTGAGGTGGGCGGATTACCTGAGGTCAGGAGTTCAAGACCAGCCTGGCCAACATGGTGAAACCCTGTCTCTACTAAAAATGCAAAAATTAGCAGGGCATGGTGGCGTGTGCCTGTAATCCCAGCTACGCAGGAGACTGAGGCAGGAGAATTGCTGGAACCTGAGAGGCGGAAGCTGCAATGAGCCAAGATCATGCCACTGCACTCCAGGCTGGGCAACAAAGCAAGACTCTGTCTCAAAAGTATGATCCTATTTTAAATATATATATTTTTTACAGACATTATGTAGGTTCACCATTCCTTATCTGAAACCCTTGGTGCCAGGTTGTTTTTGAGAATTCATAATTTTTCAATTTTGAGAGCTAATACAATACATATGTCACATATTTTCCAAATTCCCATTGGTTTCTCAGGTGCTATCCCATGTTTATGCAAAAGAACATATAAAATAATCACACTGAATAGAATAATAAAGACTAAAACTAGCCCCACATCAATTCAGGTCATGTTTTCCCACCCAGTGAATTTGTATCAAACTTAGGGAAATTTTTTTCATTTGTAATGCTTTCTGAATTTTAGAATCACTGGTTAAAATAAGAAGGCTTGGAAGAATACATACCAAAATGTTAATGGTTATTATTTCTAGGTTTCAGAACTATAAACTTTTCCCCCTCATTTTCTAAACCATTTATAGCAAATACACATTATACATTTATAATAAGATTTACAAAGCCAAAAGTAACTTTTAAAAAAGAAGACATAAAATAAAAATTCTGTGCAGACCTTGGGGAGAACAATCTGCCTCAAAATAGACAGCAAGCTCTGGAATACAGCTATCAAGTCATAAACCTGAGATGTTAGAGGCCTAGAAAAGACTGCAGGCCACTTGAGACTGACAGCTAGTAATAGGTTTTCATTTCATATAGCTGATAAACCAGATAAAGTAAGCAGAGACTTTCGAACCTTCAAAGCTAGTTTACTCTGATTCTTAATTCATTCTACCTGGATGAATCAAAAGTTTAGTTTATCCCATTTTCAAAAAAGGCAAATCTTAACTCTTCACAAATTTCAGATTTACTAGTTACTGCACATTCCACCCAAAATGTCACTCAAGGTAAATAAAAGTATGAAGGCTATCTACTCACCACACAAGTCACAAGAAGCCATTAACAATTTTATCAGATCCAGTGTCATTCACATTATAACTAACATCTACATTTCTGAAATTTGTCAGGGAGCTTAGCTTAATCCCAAGCTTACAACCTCTCCATGTTTACCAAAAGCTCAGGTGAATAAAAAATAATATTTGGAATTGAAGACAAAAACATACCCAGTCCAACCAAGTTCCATCATATCATAAAAATATATCACTGCATCAAATGAAAACCAAATCTTGTCACTGCAAAATTTGTCACTCTATTAACTTTCTCAAATTTTACTGAATTGCAATTTGCTATGAGGCCACTAGATTATGTTAAAGGTTATTGTAAGAAACAACCCACAAAATTTATCACTGCATCATAGATGCCTCTAAAGGAGATAACTGATATCCTTAGATTGTGAAGATCTACCCAAGGAGAAATGCCCACCTGATCAAAAACCACAACTGTGACTCTCTAACCAAACTCTCTCTGTTCTTAAGACATAGAGAATGAATTGTATATTTTACAAGCTTTTTGTGTCAGCTGCTACAGAACTTAGCTTAGCTCTAAACTTGTGACTCATTCTCAGTGTTTGTGGTTATTAAACTATGTATTTAGTCTTATTCCTGGATTCACTTTTCCCCTCATTGCTGGTTTCCTTTTTCTGCCTCATTTTAAATTCATATTCTTTCATCATACTTTAGATATACCTTTTTTAATGAAGACAGCATAAGTAATATATAGTGTTTAACATTTTTACAGCTTATTGTTTTTCTGCATGTATTGTTCTGATCACTATTTGATGTTTGCATGCTTGTTTGTATATTTGTTGTCTATCTTCCCATCCTATACACACTAGAATGTAAGCTCCATGAGAACAGCAACTTTCTTTCATTAACTGCTATATCCCCAGTATCTAGGATGGTGTTCACATCTACATTAACAATACATACAAAATGGAATGACCATGAAAACAGACCAATTATATCATATGCCATACTGTTATATAAAAGAACTTTTCTTAAGTGAATCTCATCTTCAGTCTACATGATCTTTAACATTTTTGCATTAGCCTGCAAGAGGTCAAATGTACTTATAGAGAGATCCCATTACTTGGAAATTTTCTACAAACCTACATGCATAATTGGTCCAATCCTGGACACTATTCCCTATGGAAATACTCTAAAAATAAAGAGGAAGCGTCACATACAAAGATACTGATCAAATTTATTTATAATAGAAATAATCTGGAATAAGCAAACTATCCAATGATAGGAAAATGTTTAAACAGATAGCAAAGCCATAGCATATTAATCAAACATTCATTACAAATTATGAAGATTTTCATGAGGAAAAACACTAATAAAACATTACATGAAAAAAGTCAGAAGATAAAATTACATATATACTGTGAGCTTATTTTTTTAAAAAAAAAAAAAGGAAATAGAAAATGATTGGAAATAAATCAACATACTATATACAAATACTAATGGTCTTTGCTTCAAAAATATTCAACTGACATATTTTAATTTCTTTACTTGTTTCTGTATTTTCCAAATTCTGTATAATTATTACATATTATTTTGCAACAAAAAAAATTTTGTTATCCAGAAGTGACAAAAGTCTATTTATAATATTATCACTATTAAAACGTTGAAAAAATAATTTATTATAGGAAAAGAAGCATCTTATTTGGAACATGAAATAAAAGAAACATTGCAAAGTAAAACAAATACTGTACCTTCACTGCTACGTGAAGTTTTGCTGTTTTCTTGGATGGTCCTGAGGCTTCATATGTTGTGCCATCCACATCTACAGACATTGTGAAGACTGGGGCATGAACGGGGCCAGACTGAGATAAGAGCTTATACTGAAGCCCAGGCCTGATCTGATTTAGCCTCATTAGTGCATTCATAAGGTCTATTGCTTTACTATCCAGAACTGTTAAAGAAAGAAGAATGAGGTCAGAAATTAACTAGAAAGTCATTTTGCTTTAACCTCTGCATTTTCAGGTTCCTAGTACCTACTGTAAATTTACCAGACTTTTAAAAAATGAGTATTTCAAAACACATATCTTTACCTCATAATGCTAAAATTATTATGCTAACATCACTGTAAAAATAGTATGCATTACTGTAACTATACATTAATTTTCTCTTGTCAATATTAATGTATCTTAAGCCAAAAAGCTTGGAAACAAAAAAGTTATTCAGTTATCAATTGCTTAGTTAAGATCTAGTCTCAAAATAATTCAAATCAATCAAATTCTTCACTTTTTGGCTGAGCATGGTGGCTCATGCCTGTAATCCCAGCACTTGGGAAGGCCAAGGCAGGTAGATTGCTTAAGCTCAGGAGTTCAAGACCAGCCTGGGCAACTTGGCGAAATCCCATCTCTACCAAAAATATAAAAACTTAGCAGGGCATGGTGGCACACACCTGTGATCCCTACTATTTCAGAAGGCTGAGGTTGAAGGATCACCGGAGCCAAGCAGGTGGAGACTGCAGTAAGCTGAGATTATTGTGCCACTGCAGTCCAGTCTGGGTGAGAGTGAGAAACCCGTCTCAAAAAAAAAAAAAAAAAAAAAAACCTTCGTTTTTAATTTTTCTATCTGAGACTACAAGTCCTCTCTAGTTTGCATCTGTAAGAATACAGGTTTCACACACTTTTCCTTAAGTTTCGCTTCATCTTCTTATTGGGGTCTTTATCATCTCCTAATCCATCTTCAAATGGCCTCTTTAGAGCTGAAGACCCAGCACCTAAAAAAAATTATGAGCAATTCATTATCAGTCAAAACAACAATCCTACTTACTGTACCACAAGTATCTAACATGTTCAGGTAGGAAAATCTTAGGAATTACACCAAGGACCATACAACTTTTTTCATTGATCAGTTAAATTACCATATTTACAATCTAGAAAAGCAAATTTTTTTAAAGCAAATCTTGAAACAATATTTCACTTTTTATATTTATTTTTCCCATTTATTCATATATACACACCAAGATCTATGCCTATGCTATGGTCTGAATGTTTGTGTCCCCACCAAATTCAAATATTGAAACTTAATCCCCAGTGCCGTGGGATTAGGAGGGGGGCACCTGGAAGGTGATTAGGTTATGAGGGTGGAGCCCTTATTAAATTAGTGCCCTTATAAGAGATGCCTGAAAGAGATTGTTTGTCCTTATAGCAGGCACTATCTATGAGGAGTAAGCCCTCACGAGACAGCAAATCTGCTGAAGCCTTGATTTTGGACTTTCAAGCCTCCAGAACTGTGGGCAATAAATTTCTGTTGCTTATAAGTTACCCAGTCTAAGGCGTTTTGTTATAGCAGCCACATAGACAACATATATTCACAGTCATATGCATGAACAGAAGAAGGCTAGATAGCTATATATCAAAATGTTAAAAAGTAGTTACCTCTGGCAGGATTTATTTTTACTTAATATCATTTTGAACATCTCTAAAATTCAACATTTATGACTTGCATTAACTTTAGAAGTCCGAGTGCTAAATCTTATGCTTAGAAATCTGATTATCAAACTATATTCTTCTGCCTCTTCAAATCCTATTCAAAATTTTATTTACAGTTCACCTCCTCTATAAAAAGTTCTCTCATATCAAAGAGTTTTTATGATATCAGAATGTAAAGTCTTGTATCACTGCCTATTTCATATATTCTTGTGTGTCCTCAGTGCTCCTTGAAGGTCAAAGATATTTTCTCCTTGTCTTGTATCTTTCAAACTACCTTAACACAAGACTTAGAAGCAACATAACAGGCACTGAGCAAAAACTAACTAAACTGATTAATAATCAATTTCTTGGATACAGCAGCCAACAGTTTATAATGTTGTCAAGCAAAAGACAGGAGCTTTGCTGTCCAAGTTAAAAATTATTAGAGAAAAGTTCATCAACCTATCCAAGTACTTTAAAGATCTCTTTATGTCTTCACCTTAAAAGTTAGTTGTTTTTCCTAAGGAAAATTATGCTCAAGATATTCATGCCACATGATTTCCAGATACTTCTAATGAAAGCTTATAATAATAATGAGATTAACTATGTATTTTCTGATCAAGATTTACTGTCCCTTGAGGTAAACACTGACTTCAGCATTTGCTTGGGTCAATATTTACCACTCAGGCCAATCAATCTTGATCCTCTCTTCAACAGAAGGCAATATTGGCTGAGTATTATATTTCATTTGCATTACATAAAGCTATGAGTATGCCAGTCTCCCAGAATGCAGTCTATAAGAGATACAAGTTAAAAAGAACTATGTCTATTCAATCACTCTTCTGCTCATTAAGTTGCATTAAAGGCAGCTCCTTGATTGCCTAGAAATCACAAGCTAGCTTAAATGCACAGATCTATTCTCTAAATCCTCTAGCTACATAAATAAGAGTTCCGTGGATTAAGCTCCATTCTATCATTCCAGCCATTGCAAAGGGGCTGTAAAATGTGGGGCTAATCATCATAAGCAGCCTAAGGGGAAAAATGGGCTTGCTTTACAAACAACAGGTAGTTTTCAACTTTTATAATATCTAGTAATGTGAAGTGATAACTTCCGAGGCAACAGTTTTTTTAAATATTTTAGTATTTGCCATATGCCTGACACTGTTAACACCTCACAGGTATTAACTTATTTAATCCTCATGAGTACCCTCATGAAACCATTACCTTTATTGTCCCCTTTATAAATTCATTCATATATCCATTCAATAATAAACAATAAATATTAATTGAGCAATTTTATGTGCTAGACATATAGCAAGTAACAAAATTATCTCCCTTTTCTCAAAGAGCTCACACATAGTGGCCAAAACTAATTACAACATATACTATGGTAGTGAGTGTAAACAATTTATATGTCCCGCTCATCAGAAAGGTATCACTAATGAGACCTTTTGATGAAGACCTAAGAAAGTCAAAGAGTGAACTATGCAGTCATCTGGAGAAAGAATCCCAGGCAGAGAAAAATAAACAGCAATTACAAAAGTTTTTAAGGCAGAAACATGCTAAGAAATGATACAAAGGCCTGAACAGTTGGAGTGAAATGAACAAGAAGAAGGTTCAAGAAGAAGGTGAGAAGAGCCTGGTTAGGTGAGGCAGTAGTTCTCAAGTCCAGGTGCCATTAATTGACAAAATATCAAGGGTCCATTTCCAGTATGAGAGAGTAAATAAGTCAAAAAAGGCTTCCTGATTAGAGCAATTCGAAAAACTGGACAAAACAAACAATAAATATCTGTTCCTGGACAATGAAGAATTTTAAAATCAAGATCTGGGAGGTGAGCCAGGCACAGTGCCAAATGCCTGTAGTCCCAGCTACTCCAGAGGCTGAGGCAGGAGGATTCATTGAGTCCAGGAGTTTGAGGCTAAAGTGGGCTATGGTTGCACCTGCAAATAGCCACTGGACTGCAGCCTTGGCAATATAGAAAAGCCCTGTTTAAAAAAAAAAAAAAAAAAAAGATACGGGAGGTGAAAGAAATTCTCTGCATTGGGGGTCACATTAATCCTACGGGCATCTTCCGAATCCAGAAGAGGTCACTAAAAACTGAAGAGAGTAATGTCAACAGGCTTCCAGGTCTCAAGGAGTCCAAAACTAAAGTTCAAGGTCCAAGCAGAGAACGGATGGTGACCCCCTCCCCCGACCCTGCACTCTGGGTTGGGCCTCTGAAATGTTATACTCTAGAAGCAAAATGAACTGGAAATAGCATGGCCCTCACAAGGATGAAAGCCAAGGTTCAAAAATTATAATTTTTTCTTTTTGAACTGGAGTCCCGCTCTGTTGCCCAGGCTAGAGTGCAATGGCATGATCTCGGCTCACTGCAACCTCTGACTCCAAAGTTCAAGCAAGTCTTTTAACTCAGCCTCCCAAGTAGCTGGGATTACAGGTGACCGCCACCACACCTGGCTAATTTTTTTTTGTTATTTTTAGTAGAGACAAGGTTTTGCCATGTTGCCCAGACTGGTCTTGAACTCCTGCCCTCAGGTGATCCAACCAGCTTGGCCTCCCAAAGTGCTGGCATTACAGGACTGAGCCACCATGCCCGGTCTCAAATTATCTTAATCTCTGACTGCACTGAAATGATCTAGGGCTGCCAATTCTGTTGGCCACCTCCCAGAAACAAATATAAATCCTCCCTGGAGGAAGATATCATTACTCTAGATTTTAAATTATCTATAATTTCTTATTTTAAAAATCCAGCACTCATAAGCAGGCAAATGAGAAGATATCATGATTAGAAATCAAGAGAAAGAGCAGACAATACAAACAGACCCAAAACAGACCCAGATGACAGGCCTTTCAAAAACAAACTTTCTTAAAAATAATTTCAGGAAGAAAATCTGAAGCTATAAAAGAGCCAAAAATCTATAAATGAAAAATATAAACTAAAAACTGGCAGGCCTGCAAGGGGAAATGGTAAATCCACAATAGATGGGAATTGACAGAGCTCTCTCAGTAATTAATAACAACATCTGAAAAACATACAATGAACAAATGACATGACCTAACATGAAAAAAAATATTATGACCCTCAACTACAGAATATACATACTTTTTCAGAGCAAAAAAAGACCATATGCTGGGCCACAATATACTCAACAAATATTGAAGGACAGAAATCATACAATGCATGGACAGCAGAATAAGTAAAACCTCAAAAACAAAAGAGTTAACTACAAAATCTTCATTGGTCTGCAAATTAAGCAATATATCTAAATACCCAATAGGTAAAAAAAAAATTAGGAATAAAAGAAAGTAAAAAATAGCTTTAACTAAATAATAAAAATAAAAATGCCCAAAGAATGTGATGTACATAAATCTGTGCTTAAAGGGAAATTTACCATCTTAATAGCATATACAATAAGAGGCTGAAAAATCAATGAGGTATTCACCCAACTCATAAAGTTTAAAAACAAGAGCAGCAAATTAAACCCAAAGAAAGTCATAAGGAGGGAAAACTACAGATAAGAGCAGAAAACCAATAAAATAGAATACAAACATACAACAGAAGACAATGAACAAAGCCAAAAGTTAATTTTCCTGTAAAGATTAATAAAAATAAGTTCCTAGGTGAGAGTCATTCGCAAAAAAAAAAAAAAAAAAAAGGGAAGATACAAAATATAAAAAGACATTACTACAGATACTACAAACAATAAAATGAGGACCTTACAAATTATTTTATTCCAAAACATTGTAAAATTTAGGTGAAATGGAAAAATTCTTAGAAAAGCACAGCTTACCAAAGTGTCACAAAAAGATGGAAGTCTCATGCTTATTAAGGGAATCAGATCCATAATTTAAAATATTTCCACAAAGAAAACACATGCCAATGGCTTCACTGATGAATTCTTCCAACAGTTAAAGAAAAACTAACACCAAACATATTCAAACTTTTCCAAACAATAGAAAAAGAAGCAATACGTTGTAACTCACTTTATGAAAGCAGCATAACCTTGAAGTCAAAGCTTAACACAGGAGAACTGCTGGTCAATCTAACACACAAATACCTGCATTTTTGACTTGCCCAAAAAAACCTACATGATTATATATATATATATATATATATATATATGCACACACACACATTATTGTTTTATACACACACACACACACACACATACATGATTGTTCATAGAAACTTCACCTATAAAAAGCCAAAACTGGAAACTAACTGTCCTACAATAGGTAAATAGTCAAATAAACTTTAGCTCATTCACATCATGGAATAATACTAAACAAGAAGAAGGAACAAAC